TTCATCTTGTTCCTTCTTTTCACATTTGCTTTTACATTCTCCTGCTTGTTATTAGTTATTAATACGTTTAAGTATTTATACTTATCTTAAAATGCTATTAATTATAAATTCTCTACTAGATTTACCTTTATATATTTACTAATGTGTTTTCAAATATACACCACCTGCACCTCATTTTAATCATTTGCTTCTAATCTCTATAACGACAAGGCATATTAACCTAGAACTGTACTTTATACAATAGGTTTGATTCAACTTACCTGTGCTTACAAGTTGAGTCTTTTAAATATTTTATACCACTAGCAATAAATGAAATTTAATGTAACAATATTATTTATTAGTTTTATATTTAAACTGTTATAATTTTCTAAATGAATTTTATTCCTTATAGTCCTGTTAGTTTACATTTACAGGAATTGTGAAACGCATTTGTTGAAGAAGTATTTAGCAGTTCGAAGTTCGAAATAGTAAAGCAAAACGAAAATTAGTAAATTATATTAGATTAAGTTCCTAAAGAAAAGTTCTCATCAACAAGTACCTCATCTGATGGTTAACATGTCAGAAATGATATTTGAACAATAGATATTCATATATTTTACAAATTAGAGAGATATAAGAGAAAAAAAAGTGATAAAATGTGTGATATGATTAAAAAAATTGTTATTAAATTTCATTGTAAAAACAATATAATTTTTCTGCTTTCCAAGTGGAATAAGGTTCAGCTGCTAGTTGCAGCGATATTCCCAGAAATGCATGACAAGGAGAGTTTGGACAAGATAACAGGCAGCGCGTGACCCACGCTCTATTCGACAAGAAGCTCCCATACTTGAGTGCAAGATATAACGATGATCAACGAAACATATACTGCTGCTGTTGTTTTTTTCTTTTCCTTAATGTTTTATTTTGATGTTTGTAGCTTCGATATTATTATGTAAAGCGTTCAACTTGAAAGAAGAATGGAGAAGAAAGAGGCTGCCAGCACTCTCGGAATCGGTTAATTACTGGGAAAAGTTCGTTGCACTCTCCGACTCAAATCAACTGTCGTTGAAGAATGTTCAAGCAAAAGAAAATTGGTCGAAGTGTTACAGAACTCATGCTTCCTTAGTTTCAAATAAAAGAAATGAAAAATAAAAGAAAAAAAATTGGATGATAAATGTATTTCTTTTGGTTAAAAGAAGAATACAAAAATAGAGTTATAAAAACATTTTTTTTTAATTTTCTTACTTTTCATCCGTCCTAAACAGAGAGTTAGAGAGAAGTAATAAATGATGTAACATAATTTAAAATATTGATTATAATTCTTAAAATTATATTAAAATAAAAAAGTTAATTTGTAAATAAAAGTATAAATAATAATTATAAATAATATTTTTATTAAAATTTATAATGTTTAATAGTAAGTTAATACGAATTCAGTCTTATGTAAAGTCACAAAATTTAAATTTAGAGTTCATATATATATATATATATATATATATATATATATTTATATATATTTTAAATTAGATCTTCAGAGTTGCAAAACTTTTCAAAGTAATATCTCATACTTTTTTACATTTAATTTTTTAATTTGGTCTCTCTCATGTTTGTAAAAAAATATATATTATGGACTATTCTAAAAAAGCTATATAATTGAAAATTAGATTAATTTTTTTTATAATATGAACTAAATTGAAAACACATAACACATATAAGGATTCATATATATTTTGATAAATAAAATATATAACTGTTATACTAGTGAAGAAAAAATTGCTCGTATAAGAATTAAATTTTTAAAAATGACTTAAAAATCATATTAAAAATATATAAAATGTAAAAGGATTAAATATATATTTTAACTTAAATATGATTAGTGTATTTACTTTATTATAAATATTTTTTTATTGTGTGCAAAATTATTTCACCATAATATATCATTTTTAAAAATAAAATTCAAAAATTTTTTATCTTCAAAAATAAATTTTACACGTTACTAAATCCTTTAATTCTGAAAGAGAAAATTAAAGTTTTCTCTCAACTTAATTTCCTTACTAAAAGGAGTGAGTTGGGAGTTCGACTCTGATACACAATCTGGAACAAGGCCAATCCCACCATGGAAGGGAAGGTATTGGGTATTGGGTGCCTGTGTCCTCCATTTTCACCTCCATAAATTCACAACACTCAATTGCTAAATTTGGATAAATACAACTACAGTTAGGAGTAGTAGTCTCTCTGCCACTTGTACAGAATCTGACAGCACTTTTTACATGCTATGATTATATTGAGCATTGCTCTATCTTTAACAAACACAAGAATTAAAGTTGTTTGTCATTAATTGCCAATCAGTAATTATTATTAGTAATATACACACAAGCTACATGGTGTTCGAGATTTGACAACGGAATTTTGCATTGCGTTTCTGTGCAAATACACTTAATTTAGGTAAAGTTTGATTTCCCTTTATTCTCCTGGGCCTAGATGTTTCCAACCCATCTGGAATAGTATCAAGAATTAAAGTGGATTTATTTGTTATATCATAGTCCATTATAATCTGAAGATATGGAAATAAATAAATCATCAGAGCCTACATGCGAATCTGTGTGCTCATCCTATATACTATGCAAACAATATGTCAGGAGCTAGTCAATACAAGTGTGGCTCTTGCTGTTTTCCCCTATAGGAATTAAGTTACAAACTGAGGAAGGGAAATTGCATGTTTATATAACGTAATGCTAAAAGGAGTTTATCTGAATTGATGTGACAATAATAATATTATCATTGTTTTCTTCTCTTTACTAGTGGAGAACATATGGAAACGATACATAATATATGATCTCCTTATTTGGTATTTAATTGCTAAACTTTCGCTTTAATTTTAATGAATGGCATTGGTTATCTTGCAAATTGAATCAATCAAGATGCTTCCATCAAGGAATGATCCATATGCAACTACTTATTTTAAAAAAGAAAAATAGCATTCTATTCAATTCGGATTTATCACAAACGTAATATATATCATGTTGTTCGGTCCTTCTTGGTCAAGTTTTTATTTGATAAAGATGGAGAAATAAGAAAAGAACAGACCGTCTGGACCATGTTTCAATGAGGGTATGAAACGTGCTTAAAGCTCGTTTCCACAAGTCACTGTTGGAGTGTTTGCTTGAAAGAAAAGATGGGGAGAAAATGTAAAATTTCCCCAAAGGGAAGACAAAAAAGTTAGAGGAAAATGATTTAGACCCCTTTATTTATTTTCTTTTCTCTCTAAACTTTTGAATTGAACAGTAGAGAATTTTTATTAAGACCTCTTTCCCTTGTCTTCTTCTATTCATTTCTTAGTGGAAGTAAATGTAACTGCAAGATAATATATTTTGTGCAATTATTTCTGATCCACTTCTACCAGGAAGCAGATTTTTGCATTTATTCCGAATGAGGCAGAAAGTTTCAATGCGGATACTGCAGATGACTGCTAAAATGGTGTTACTCTCGACGAATCTATTGCCATTGAAGAGTAGAATGTTGCCCTAGTTCTCCACAGGTTAGTTTATCATTCAATATTCATTCATATCTTGTCATGACTTCATTGTAATCCGAATGCAGTGGCTTTCACTTTACACGTGGACTTAAAATATAATTAGGAAGCTATTTAATTAAAGTAATCGTGGCATGTGGACTGTTTTCTTGGTAGCTTATACATATGCTGTAATAAAAGTTCCTCATTCACAAAAAATCTCATTAGACGACAAGAATTTTAATTCATTCATCCATACATATATGCCAAATTAGTTCTATCAAGAAATAAGATACTTTAGTGAAGGGGCTTGTGTAACAACTTTGACACATTAATATCCTTTAAAAATTTAGCAAGAACGTGATTAAAAGGTGTATCTAAATTAAATAATATCAGTGATTTTGTTGTATCTTATGTAATGGGTTATAATACTCTTTGTATTCTGTTTAATAAAACTTCTTGTTGCTGATAAAAATAATAATAATATTAGTCTCACATTTTACATTGGATCGTATGCGGCAATATGAAAAATTGAATTTGATCCGAAACCAAACGAGCTTTAGTTGTTGTTCAAACCAAGAAGTCGCATGCAAGAATGTCAGCAACATTACATATTGAACTTTTGCTTTCTCGTCTTTACAAGCAAATGGCAAATTAATGTTCTCATTTACAGAATTAGGATTCTCAGTAATGAACAATTAACTGCAAGAGATACCATTATCAACCATAGTAATATATAGGTAAAAACCGGAATTTCAAACGTTATAATACTTGCACAGTAATATTCTTTGCATATCTCCAAAAAAATTACCACCTTGGCATCTTCCTTCCTGCCTTTTCTTTCTCCGTCTTTCTTTTTTCCTTATGCCATGAGTAGCTCAATTTCTGGGATCGAAGACCAAAAAGAATTATTGGTGAGACAATTAAGAACTTAAAGGCTAATAATTTTGTCGATAAATATGATTTATGTTAGAATATTATGGCTCCATTTGATCCATGTAACCGATCTACTCAATGGGAGAATACTTAATTGCGTTTCTTTTTTTCCTTTACCATCAAAGGCTTTCCATGTGTCCTCACAATGTCCGTGATTCTTCCCCCTTTTCCAATCTGGAGCCACATTTAGGACGTGGCTTTATATATACATACTTAGAAATATGTTAAAGAATTTGAAAACAGAATTTTAATATACAAATTATAACTAATAATATTGAAGTAAACGTAAATTTATAATAATTTAATCGTGAATTCAAAGACACTCGCAAATACTGATCCTTCATACACATATATCTTCACCTAAATATTCATGCAATTGATACAAAAATCATGTTTTGCAGCAGTTAAGGCCATACTGCATCTTCATATATCACATGACATGAAATATTTACATATGAATCTATTCGCTTGCAGAGAAATTAGATGACAAATTACAGCAGACGCCAAATCTTGTATTAGCACACGAGAAATATACCCATCGATTTTGGAAATCAAGTACTTCAATTGTTGAGTAATTGCATGGGCGAAGGCTACAATGGTATAATTGAACATGTCAAATTTCAGTGTTTGACCCAAACAAAACAATCCTGGTATAAAAGAGGCACGCGACAAAAATTCAACGGGGAGGAAAGAGAAGCTGTTCTTAAAGGAAACAGAAAATCAAAAGGTGATTTTCTGTCAATACTAGGAGATACGGATGGCGCAAAAAAGCCCATCTACAAGACAGGTAATTTGGTGATATCCAAATAGCTTTTCAACCTTCCAATCATTTTGCTGTTCTCAGGTCTTTTACTGCACACGCTACATACGGCTGTTATAGCACTTAGAAGAAATCAATTATTGCAGGAATCCATAATAAAAAAAAAAAAAGATAAAGAAAAATAGTTGATTAACACCTCTTGTAAATTGAAGGGTGTTAAATACTGTATAGTATCTAAAAACCAAAGCTGTTAAAAAATACAAAAGGCATATCACATGTTTATCCCATCTTGCCCCAAGAACAGAACGGGCTAAAACAGTGAGCATTGATAAGAGAAGATACTGTTGGAACCAAATCTGCAATCTTAGGCAGGTTCATAGAGGCCTAACACATGCCCATCAATACATCGCATAGCTGCAACCTGATCACAAGTAAATCACATCAGACCTTATCTCTTCACTCCTCCTCAGTATAAAGTATCAAAGGTGTGAATGAATCACATTGACACTACCTTTCCATGGACCTCATATTTAATGGGTCCATCTAGTTCAGCTCCTAGTGCCATTAATTTACTCACTGTACTGTTCATGTCAGTCACCGTGAATGACAGAAGCGAGGAGTATCCTTTCTGCATTACTTCCTCACTGTCAAATTGCAATTCAAACTGAATCATATTTTCACAAACGTTTCTTTTAAAATATAAATATTTTGGGAGAAAATTTAAAAAATAAAATAAAATTGAATGTCACATAAGTAAAATCTATTAAAAATCGTCCTAATTCCAGGGAGGCACTAATGAGTACAATATGGAATGGACAAATTATCGAACAGATAGAGGGCGTTAGAATAGAGAAAGGTACTGGGGAGAATGCATGAGAGCGAGCTTGAGAGAACCAGATTGAAGTTCAGCCCAGCGAAGAGTGCAGACATTGATACTGAAATCCAAGCCTTCGGAGTAGAAGCGAGCAGCTTTTGGAACGTCCCTATGTAGTTGCAATATCCACCTCAACGACGCTGCCATCAGTGACGCGCTTTGCGTTTCACACTTCTTCGCCCACACACGTGCGTTGCATTTGATCTCACCCACTTCGGGGGGCCCTATTTGGATTCACCCAAAACTCCTACAAGTTGTCTACAGAGGTTTTCTCATGATATATGAGAAATTCACAATTAGCTTTCAAATTTTCTCTATTATTATTCTTATAGATATTTAATATATTTATCATATTTCCCGTTATGTCTCAAATAATACTATAATGTGTATTTAATTTGAATCTAACTAAGAGTACATTTCTCCGAGATTATTACAGTTCTGAGCCAATCGCTTATTTCGAAATCCCCCACAAAAAAATAGCATAGTTAATTGCTCCTCCAAGATATTTAAATGCTCATTCACATTATCACTCGCTCTTTTGCAAGTTATTCATATTCATGTTGTTATATCAACTCAACCACAATTTTGACTACATGTATAAAAAGATTTTTATATTTGACTTTGAAGTAAGTAGTCTCAAATTGTTAGCACAGAAAAAAAAAACGGAAGAAAAGAAAAACACTCAACTACGGTGATGTCTAAGCCCCATATACAGTTATGGTGGTTATATCCCTCTGAGGATTGTAATTCTCCTTGTTTTGTGTAAATGTTGTTGGACTGTTTATAAATGAATAATCTTTTTATTTTTGACAAAAAAAGAAGTGCTACCAGAAAATAAATTTCGTCTTATGGAAGCCGAAAAAGTAATAAGAATTGGGAGAAAGAACAATGGACAGTGTTTTATGCGCGGAAAAGAGTATAAAATCAATTTGCATTGTCAACCAAACAGACCCTAATCTGTGGCTGTATTTTTTAAGTAACGTATCACAATGTTAGACAGAAACAAGAGATGAACGAACAAATTATCCAAAATTGTATATTTGTTTCACTTCTCAAAAGTTGATCAACATCTACAGTAGTATAGAGAATAAACCCCAAAGGAGAAATATGTTACAGATACAAAGTAAAAATTATGAACAAAGCAAAAATTCCACGTGAAAGGAAGAGACAAGAGAGGCGAGTGCGGGACCGAAATGAACACCCATCAACAAGGTGGAAATTCCCCCCACCCTTATTACCATCAACATCTTCATCCTAAACAACCTCTAAAAGGACCCCTTCAAGGCTTTTAAACGAGATCGCTGCCCCTTGGACCTAGCTTCCAGAAGCTTTGCTTTCAAAGTGTTATTCTCCTTCGATCCTGAAGGCACTTTGGAAGCCTCTGATATGTCATCATCTTGGGATGTAAGTCTTGCCATCCACTGTTTCACAGGGCTTGCCTGATTCCTCCATCCAGCATTGCTGCAGGAGGCCTCGCCATAATTATTATCAGCATGTATTTTTACACCTTCTGATGCCAAAAGTTGACCAATGACGAGATTATCCATAATGTGATTTTTATTGGAGCTGTGCAATTCGGTGGGGTTATTTTTTCTTTCAGAACCATCATTTTCATTAACCTCAAAGTGTTCAGATTTTTCAGATATAGTTCCTTCAACTGGTCTAGTATCTGTGGTCTTCCCCTGCTCTGCATCTATTATTGACTGAGACTTCTTGTTTGAATCAGATGACAAGGCCCAAGCCATCTGTTCCTCAAACTTCACTTGCAGGCTAGATGGGCTACGATGTTTTAACCCTTCACGTGGTGTTGGTTTCTTCTTTGTGTGGTTAGTTTTTAATGGCTCTTCAAAATTTTTTTCCACAGGCTCTTCTTCATGCACTTTAGATCCTTTATTGCTTGGCTTGCTCAGCTCAAAACAATTTGAATCACTGCCCACAGAATCATCATCATCATCACCCACCTCTTGCGGTGCGCTGACAGCATCATTCAATGGTACAGATTCCAGGGAATTCCGGCGTTCCCTTATTGCTATATTTTCTGTACTCCTACTATTTAGTTTAGCTTTAAGGAAAGTCTCTATTTCAAGGCTTAGTTTATCGACTATGGACTTCTTATCCACAAAACCATTTTGAGCAGCTTCCAGCCGCATTTGCATACGTTCATCCAGCCATGATTCAGATATGTGGAGAATCAAACGATCATGATCAGCCCTTTGAATCCAGTCCTTATCAGACTTGTGTTTCAGAGCATGCACTTCTTGCTCGTATTCATTTATTCCCCTAGCAAATTCATCACATAGGTCCTCCAACATTTTTCTTCTTGTTCTCTCTTGCTCCAATTCTTTTAGAGCACTAGTCAGAGAGGATTTCACCTCAGAAAGATCCCGAGCTAATTTCCTGTGTATGCTCTCGGATCGTTTTCTTAATTTCCTCTCATCCTCAAGTTCATCCCTCACAGATTGAACAGCCGCATGGAGTCGATCCTGCTCCTTACTCTTCCTAACCAATTTATCCTCTGCAATTTGTTTCATCAGGTCATCAATCTCATGTCGATCTGCCTGTCGGTCTCGAAGCAACTCTTTGACCCTGATACGTGCATGATCTAGCTCTGATTTTAATGCTTTTATCAGTGAAAGGTTAGAGGCGTGCTGTTCTTCCAAGCTCCATATTCTGTTTAGCACTTTTAGAAGTTCTGTAGATGTTTTGAGACTATAATGTGGTTCACCAATCCTTCCCTTAAATTCCAAGGAACTAGAAGGAGTAGCTGCAGGATTATAAGGTGTCATCTGCAACCCAAGAAAGGACAAGCACAAAATGCAATAAATCGTTGAATATTTGTCAAACAATAAACAAACCACTATAGTAGAGTTGGGATAAATATTATCTATCCTTTGTACATAACAGACAAACTTCATGATTTACTACAAATGTCTATTTTTAGTCATCATTCTGAAAAATGATTTTGGCAGCAAACTACAATGCAACTTAGCCATTATTGGTATGTTGTTTCATTATCTTCAATAAAATTAATTACGGACCAAAAATTTCATAGTATGAGGTAAATTGCTTACTGTACCCATGATAAGTTTTGTTTCTCCCATAATACACTATTAGATCATAATTCAGAGAACTCCGAGACCTGATTGATCTTTTACATTATGATTGCAACTAACAGAGATCCACGTTCTATAAGATGCCAAAATCTTACGCCCAAAAAACAAAAGGATGTTTATTAGAAGGTAGTTGCCATGTGCCTTTTATACTAAAGTTCAGTAGGTGTTAGCCAGTAAAAAAGAAAAAGGTGGTGGGGTACAAGGTTGATGCCTACCTCCATGGAACTACAATAACTTGCAGGAGATAAAGGTTGAAGTGCATGGTTATTTCTCTCAATTGCCCGATGATGCTGCATCAGTGATGCTGCAACATGCCTCCTCAAACTGCTCGCGCTAGCTGGCTGATGAAAGAATAGAGAAATATCAATTAAAATAAACATTAGATTTGCCTCTACGGAAAGATTGAAAATGTCGATTAGAGACAGTGCATGAGTTCACATTACCATCTAAACATGTCTCAATCCTCATAGACCCCATACTAAATAAAAATTTTCATTTATAATCACCAAGGTAATTATTACTATTATATCTTCAAGAAAAATAGCAAAATCATAAAATAAAATAAAAAAGAATTTAATCAAACATCGATACAGATTACACAAGATGGAAAAGGGAAAATTCATGGGGACATTGTCCAACCATAGGCATCCTAAACATAAAAAGGGCAAAAGAATCAAGTATATCAAAATTCACCCAAGCTAGATTCTGTGTCCTTGAAAACAGACAACGAGGAAATTCTGGAATAAAGAATAAATTGCTGATGCTGAAGCAACATTTAATAACTAACAAACAACACAGAAGACAAGTCAACCTATAAAAAAAAAATACTATTTCTTACTTAACCTAGAATACACAAATCTCCAAAGCCCTTCATTCCAGCACACTGTGACATAATAATAAATGGAAAGACGATCTAAGAGGGGACCTGATCAGGAGAAGCATCAGCGAAAAAGGCAGAGATGTCTGGCGCCTTGTCCTTGTGAAGGAAGTTGTAATGGCGGCGATGTCTGGAATCAGAAGCGTTATTAACAGAACGATGCATTTGAAAGAGTGGGAGATAGTGGTTGAATTCCCAGAGAGCCGCGGCGAGCTTTCTAGCAGAGACAGTGTGAGTATGAGTATTGTGAAAACTCAAAAGCCAAGAAGGGAGTGGAGTAGAAGGGCCCCTACTTTTCCCTACCAAAACCCCTCTCTTCAACTTTTCTCCCAAATTTTCCTCCTTTTCCGCTTCCCTTTTCATCTCTCTCTAGACTTTCTAAACGTTTATTTATGGCCTCTGCAACCTTTTCCTTCTCTCTCATCAAACCCCTTTTATCTTTTCTTTTATTATATTTTCTTTCCCTTTATGTTGCCTGTTTATGTTTACACGTGGGCGCGTGCGGTGCTATGTCTGGCGTCCAATTTTGTTCAGTGCAGTGTGCGTATGGCATGCCATGATCAGGTGTTGTTTTGTACCATTTCACTGTTTCCTATTCTCATAACATGTGGTTGGTGAATTCTTTCCCTTCCTTGCCTCACCGCCACTGAATCACCGCTCTCCGCCGCATAACCATTCAACAACAAATAATGTTAACCCAAAGTGGGCATTTCAATAGGAACACCTTTTTTTTTTACTTCTTTTCTTGCTAGTGTGTGTTCCAAGAATATTCTTAAAGAAGATAAATAGATAAATAATAAATTGTTTTTTTTTTCTTTAACTAATGTGTTAACAATATTATCTTGAGAAAAGTACTGAGGGTATTATTAGTTGTTGTTTGTCCTTTTCTTTTCGACCTCGATCGTTCTAAGTTTTTGAGATCAATTAAACTCCTGTTTGTTTTGTTGAAAGAAAAACTCATGTTGTCGTTTATACTCGGCACTGTTTTTATAAAATTTAAATTAAGTTTTTATAATAATTCAGTATGATTTTACTATTAATCTAACACCTCTTATGAAAGGGAACGTGGCATGTGTTTCTGTACAATGCCATTGAAACAAGCTAAGTTTAAGATAAGTATGAAAATTAATAAAATTTATTTTCAAAAGTTAAAAATAGTTTATCTTTTTAAGTTCTAAAGAAGTTCAGAGTAACTTGTAAAAAATAGATAATATAAATTATTTCAATTTTTAATTTTTAATTAATTTTTATACTATTTTTCTTTTATTACAAAGATTTGTCTACGTAAATGACTTTTCATTAAAAAAAGTTTCAGATAATGGTTTTTTAGTTATTTTATTTTTAAAGTATATAAGCAAAACTCGTTTAAAAAAAAGGAAAAAAATTATGTTTGATGATGGCCTGTTTCTTTTTTTCTTAGCAACTTTTATTTTTAACAAAATGATAAAATGATTTAAATAATAAAAAATAAGTAAATAATAATATTTGAAAAAAAATATTAATTTTTAATACTTCAAATCGATATTAATAAAATCGTTAAAAAAATTGCGTCAGAGTGGTTTTGGAATTCGTAAAACCAAGTTTTGGTTCTTAGAACAGTCGTGGTTCACCCTTCCTATTCCTGTCATGTGTGGCTGCACGGGTCATGCATGATGACATCTTGGGCCTTATCAAGGCAACGGCTGAAATCAGCCCAACAACAAAAGCCCAATGACCATAATATGAAGCCGAAACGGAGAGGGTACTATTGACCGAAAAAAAGAAAAGGGAAGGGTACTACTGTAGAGGTTTACTCCAAGGTGTATTTCTTGATACGTATTGATTTGAGATGTAAAAGTTGAAGTAATTTTTTAATTAAACATTTATAAATATAAAGAATTTTAAAATTGATCGCTCTTCCAAACTTCAAATAACAAGTTCCACTTGGTGGATACGTGAAGTTAATTAATATTTAGTTGCTTAATTCATTTTTAAAAAGTTTGAAATTCAAAGAAAGAAAGTTTGAAATAGTAAGCGTTGGTTGAAATATTAAATTGCTTTTAAAATAGTAAGCTCTAATCTCAAGGTAACAGAAGATGACTAGTCAAATTGATCCTTTGTGGATTAAATAAATTAACGATTTTATTAATAATTTATATAATTGAGTTTCAATATTTAAATTTTTTATTTTATAAATCTGTACTAATTTTAATTATTTTTTAAATTTAAATATTAAAATTAATATTTTTGCAAATAAATATATTAATTTATATGAAATAATATTTACTTGTATTGTTATTACATATCTCATAATAAATATAAATATAAAAAATTAACAATTAATATATTTAAAAATAATCTTATTTTTTATAATATTTTTATAAACAAAATTTAGGTGTAATATCACATGTACTTTTTAAGTGATATTTTCTAATTGATATTAAAATTTAACTTTAATAATGTACAACAACTTTTATTATGCAAATTAATAAGATAAAATTTAAACTTTTATTGAAGAATAATATAAAAATATTCGTAGTATTATATTTAAATTTTATTTTTATAATTTGTGTACCATTTTACCTATAAAAATTTATACATAGTAATTTTTTACTACAATTATAAAATTTAATGTAATTAAATATATTAATCATATTAAATATTATATTTTTAATAAAAATATTATTTTTAAATTTTTGTTAGTTAAAGTATTTAAAAAATTAAAATAATTATTCTTGTGATTAAATAAGAATATTAATAATACTTTTATAAAAATAATTTTTTTAATCTCAGATTAAGTAATAAAATCTTATCCAAAATAAAAAATAAGTGCAATAATATCATTAAATTATAGTAAATAAATTTTTAATAAAGATATAATGCTGTGATTTATACTTAAATTTAATATAACCGATAAAAAAAAAAGACAAAAAGAGTAAATTGTCCTCAATATTTATTTATATTGCTTAAGCAGCGGTGGAAGGTCCCCATGCGCTGTTTCTGATCTAGGCATTTAATGCTAGGTGATCATAGAGTCACTACTTTTTTGGTTTTTTGAACAATAATGATCACTTTAATTAACAATGTATCGTTTTTTTTTTTAATAATAATTATTCATATCTAAAGATATATTTAATAAATAATAAAAGTTTATTGGATAATTAATTTTATGATGGTACGTAGTTTAAATACATTTTATTATATATATGTATAAATTACATTTTTATATTTTTTAAAAACTACTAATCTCTAGTATAAGACTTTTGTATATATTTGTTTTATTTATTAAAATATAATAATTTTTAATAAATAATATAGTAATAAAAATTGACTTTAATTAAAAATAAATTAAAATTTAGGTCATCATTCGAGAGAGATTATAAAAGTATGGATTTGGCCCGTGAATGAATATTTAATGAGCTGTAGAAGGTCCACCAGTAAAAAGAACGTCTACAAGAGTAAGTACAGACGATCCCTGTTCTGTTTGGTGGTCAACTACTACCCTCTGTTTCGTAGTTGCAGGTAAGTTCTCCATTTTTAAACTACTTTTCCTTTTCCTTTTCTTTTGTCTCTAACGAGTGTCCTTTCTAGGAACCAAACCTTATCATTATGACTGGGACAGCCGAATCAAATTCCTCTTCTTCACTCACCGACCATTAAATTTAACGTTATACAGGTTTTGTCTCTTTTAGTGTTCTTCTTTTCTTAGCTTCCTCTGCTTAACCATTGCTTTTATTCTTTAAAATATTCCGCCTCGTTTACATGCACGTCCATGGTTGCTGATGCTGTGCTGTGCCTCCTTTTTTGTATTTGCCAGTCTCCAGCGCTTGTTATTGTTTACACAATTTTATTATATGATTAGTCAAAGGCTTCAGGTCATGACCGAATTCTAGAAAGAAGAAAGATGCATTTTCCAATTAGTTCGTGTTTGTGCGCGAGTGACGTGTTTTGAGTGTGCGTGCTTGCGTGGGAGATGATTTGGAGTGTTGCTGAGAAGCATGGACACTTATAAATGGTAGCAGTGTCGTAACCGTGTAGAATACCTATTCATGTTAGGATTGCATGACTTGTTGATATTTTTATTTTTTTTTAATTTGGTTTTTTGGATTTTTATACTAATACTGATTGAAATATCACAATGAATTTTGACATTTTTTTATGTCTATAATGAATCTACTCATTTTTAAAACATGAATTCTGTGTTGTGGTTTAAAATTTTTATTCGATGTTAATTTTTGGCTAAATTAATACAATTGTATTATAGCCGTGATTTTCAATTTTGTCGTATTCCTGTGTCTATGTCGTTTTGTATTTGTGTCTAATGTTGTATCTATGCTGGCTAGGTGTGTTGTTGATGAGTTCTTGCGGGTCTTAATTTGAATTTTTGTTTTTTTTTGTTTTTATATCGGAGCTGCATAAGATACATCTTCTCTCTGCAGATATTTTGGTGGATCTACTGTTAGCTGTGGATTTTGTGATGTTAAAATGGCTTCCAATGCTACATCTGGAAATGCTTGCCCGCTGCCAATGAAAGCCACATCAAATGGTGCATTTCAGGGAGATAACCCTCTTGATTTTGCGCTCCCCCTGGCTATTTTACAGATATGTCTTGTTCTTGTAGTCTCAAGGGGATTGGCATATCTTCTAAGACCTTTAAGGCAACCGAGAGTTATTGCAGAGATTGTTGTAAGTTCATTTCTTTTCTTTAAGTATTTGCTCAATCTAATTAAGTTAGATTATATTTTCTTCTTTATAAATAAATATTGGGGGATCTAGTGAGTGATAGCTTGGAATATGACTCTCTAGGGATTGAACCTGACATCATTTGCTTCTTAAACAAATTTGATGCCACTTGATTATGAGGCAATTGGCATATGACGAGCTTTTAGCATTCCATTTCTATGTAATTCTGTGGTCTTCAGTCTTCACCGTGTTTCACTAGTCTAAAATGAGTCTCATATTTTATGTGAAATTTAAGGTGTAACAATTCACAAATCAGGATAGATGTTAGAGAAGTACACATACCAAAATATGTATAGATATAAGCAAAATTAGAATTGCATTGTTTGGACAACCACTCTCTACGCCTGAAGTAATTTAAAAACACTTCATTCATTCATGAAAGGCATGCTTGGTCTGATGGGACCCAAAACAGCAATGAAGGCCTCTGGAATACGAGCCCTACAACACCCACTGTGTGGCGGGTTTACTCTCGTAGGAAGAAAGCTAATAATCAATAATTAGGAAGTATATTATTATTCTGTTCTATTATTATTATTCTGTTATTAGAATGCTGTTTTGAATTTGAATAAATCAGTTAAGATATTTTGTTATTAGATTAGGTTAGTTTCATTGTTCTTTATTTAAATTGTTAGTTTGAAAAATGGAGGAAGGGGTTCTTCGGCTAGACTTAGGAGAGGAGAACAATGTTTTCTGAGAAGAGCGTTGGCTCTGGGGAATTATTGCAATCCTAATTCCTATCATAATCAATAAAATATCCTTTCCTTTTTCTTCAATTACCTGAGCTTAGATTCTGGACCCCAACATGGTCTTTATAAATTTCCTTTAAAAAAAGCACAAGAATTTTGTAACTTCCATTATATGTGAGCATGCACATGAAAAGGGGTTATACCATTTTTTTGTAACTGTATGGTTTTAATATGTGTGAGGCTGCTTATTGACAGGGTGGAATAATACTTGGGCCATCAGCACTTGGGCGGAACAAAAGCTATCTGCAGGCAGTGTTCCCACCCAGGAGTATTACAGTATTAGATACTCTAGCAAACATTGGCCTTATTTTCTTTCTATTCTTAGCAGGCCTGGAGTTAGATCCTAAATCTCTGCGTCAAACTGGAAATCGAGTCCTTGCTATTGCTATGGCTGGAATAGGCCTACCATTTGCACTAGGAATTGGTTCATCACTTGTTCTGCAACAAACAATTGCCAAAGGTGTAGAGAGTAGTACTGCATTCCTTGTGTTTATGGGTGTTGCTCTGTCCATAACTGCATTTCCCGTATTAGCCCGTATTTTGGCTGAGTTGAAACTTCTAACCACAAATGTTGGCAGAATTGCTATGTCAGCTGCAGCAGTTAATGACATAGCTGCCTGGATTCTGCTTGCTCTGGCTGTTGCTTTATCAGGCAATGACCGGTCCCCTCTTGTGTCATTGTGGGTCTTGTTGGCCGCGTGTGGTTTTATCATTTGTTCAATCCTCATGGTTCCTCCAATTTTCAAATGGATGATCCAACGATGCCACGAAGGTGAACCGGTTGAAGAGGTATACATATGTGCTACCTTAGCTGCTGTTCTGGCTGCTGGGTTTGTTACAGATGCTATTGGAATCCATGCCATGTTTGGTGCTTTTGTTGTTGGAATTTTGGTCCCAAAAGATGGACCATTTGCCAGTGCTCTTGTGGAGAAAGTGGAAGATCTTGTGTCTGGTCTATTTCTCCCACTCTTTTTTGTGTCAAGTGGATTGAAGACTAATGTGGCCACCATTAAGGGGCTGCAATCATGGGGCCTTCTGGCTTTTGTTATATTTACCGCTTCATTTGGGAAGATTGTTGGGACTTTTGTTGTTTCTCTTTTCTGTAAAGTGCCTTTTAACGAGGCATTAGTGTTGGGATTCTTGATGAATAGTAAAGGCTTGGTTGAATTGATTGTCCTCAACATTGGCAGAGATAGGAAGGTATTTGAATTTTCATGCTCTCACTATTCTCTATAATCAGTTTAACAAGGTTCATTTTGTTATCTATTAGCATGATGGATACTTAATATATGCATGTGCAGGTTTTGAATGATCAGACCTTTGCCATTATGGTTCTTATGGCTCTCTTTACTACCTTCATCACCACTCCACTTGTGGTTGCTGTGTATAAGCCTGCAAGAAAGGGAAGAATAGCTGATTACAAATATAGAACAATTGGAAGGAAAAATCCAAATAGCCAACTGAGGATTCTTGCCTGCTTCCATGGTGCAAGAAATATTCCATCATTGATAAATTTGATTGAGGCTTCAAGAGGAATCCAGAAGCGTGATGCACTTTGTGTGTATGCAATGCACCTTAAAGAACTCTCTGAGAGGTCCTCATCCATATTAATGGTACACAAGGCAAGAAAAAATGGTTTGCCATTCTGGAATAAAGGTCATCATGCAGATTCAAATCATGTGATTGTGGCATTTGAGGCTTACAGGCAACTAAGCCAAGTGTCTATCCGGCCAATGATGGCAATCTCATCTATGACTAGCATACATGAAGACATTTGTGCAACTGCTGAGAGGAAGAGGGCTGCACTGGTTATTCTTCCATTTCATAAACATCAAAGATTGGATGGTTCACTAGATATTACTCGAAATGATTATCGATGGGTTAACAAAAGGGTACTTCAGCATGCACCATGCTCAGTTGGACTTTTTGTTGATCGTGGTCTTGGTGGTACGTCCCATGTCTCTGCAAGTAATGTTTCTTATTGTGTTACAGTTCTTTTCTTTGGTGGTGGTGATGATCATGAAGCCCTTGCTTATGGAGCTCGTATGGCAGAGCACCCTGGCATAAAATTAGTGGTTATTCGCTTTGTAGTGGAACCAGTGAATGAAGGAGAGATTGTAAGAGTTGATGTGGGTGACTCCACTAGCACGAAATTAATCCCAGATGATGAGGAGTTCTTTACTGAATTCAAGTTGAAAATAGCCAATGATGACTCCATCACCTATGAAGAGAGAATCGTAAAAAATGCTGCAGAAACAGTTGCTACTATTCGTGAGTTTAATAGCTGCAATCTGTTTCTTGTGGGTTTAAGGCCAGCTGGTGAAGTTGCATGTGCTCTGAAGAGAAGTGAATGCTCTGAACTAGGACCTGTTGGTGGTTTGTTGGCATCACAAGATTGCCCCACAATAGCATCCGTTTTGGTGATGCAACAATATCACAATGGCGCGCCAATAAACTTTACCTCACATGTAGAGGAACACTTATCTGATAGGGACTCTACTTAAACAACTTTCCTCTAATTTTGTTCGGGAAGGCACGCCATGTTTGTGCTTTGCTGAACTCCGTGCTGCTTTACTTTATAGTTTACTGTTCAGTTTCAATTTTATTGGATTTGGAATTGGTATAGAATTATTTTATGTTAGGACTTTTGAGTTGCACAAAGAATTATGGCATAAGATTATAATTCTAAGTTCAATTCCAATTTTATGATTTACATGTAAATCTAGAATTTAAAAATAAATATATCTTTATATGTTAAATATAAGTCATTATTGAACTGAAATATTTTTAAGAGTTATTTTCCTCTTCGTCTTTATTTTGCTACATGAAGTGTGTAGTTAAGGTATACAAGCTTATTTGACCAAAATAGATAGTAGATGAGTTTATCTTACCAAGTTATACAATTTTTTGACCTGCTACTTTGAGTTATAGCTTCTTTTTTTTTTCCTTTTATTCTTATTACTTTAATAAAAATTCTCTTTTATTTTCTATTAATTCAATGAAACCCCTTTTAATTCATTGTGGGATAATATGATAAAATATAATTCAAAGTATATTGAATATTTATTTTAAGTAGTAATTTTTTTTTGTTTATTACACAAGTATTATTAAATTAAAAATAAAAAATATTTTTATATAAATAATTAAAAATAATTTTTAAAAAGTACTCAATGTTAAAAAAATAGAAATTAAAAAAAAACTTCTTAAAAGTGCTTCTATTTGAAGAAGTTCTTAAAAATATTTTTATTGAAGAATTAGTAATCATAAATTATATATAAAAGTTTATTATTATGTTATTATTACTATTTCTTAAATTTCTCCTTGACGCTAAGAAGAAATCTTACTTGTAGTTGGTGATGCATTCAGTTTTAACTTATCATATTGTATAAAAGAAATATTAACTTGCATTTGGTAATGGAGCAGACATGTGACCACGAACATCCGAGTAGTGGTTAAACACCTATATGTCCACTAAATTGATTGCTGTGTTGTCAAGTAGGAGTACACTGTTTTCCTGTTCCTTCTCATAGTAACACCAGCTGCCGAACACTTTCAAACACTACACATTTCTTTACACACTCTTGACTTTTTTTTTTCTCAAAAACTATATTCAATTAACAGTGATATGCGCTTTTTTTATATAATTTTTAATAAATTTTAACTAATAATTTAAAATAAATTGCTACCAATCTTTTTTTTTTTGGTGTGAATGATTTTCTTATATTTCGAATTTGAATTTCTAGAGCATAAAATTAATTAAATATTGGGTAATTCTTAAATGCAGATAAAACTTTCAATGTTTAAATGTAGAAAAATATTATTTTATTCTTTAAAAAATAACTATGGTATTATTTAACATAAAAGTAAACATAATATAAGAATTATTGATTAAATTATTGTGAGATTAAAAAATTTCAATAGAAAATTTAATATTTCTTAAAAGAAAAATAATTATTTTGTAAAAATAGTTTACAAAAAAGCTTATGAACTCGGCCTCTCTTGCCCTACCGTCAGCTGGTTTTTCATCTAGTGGAAATTTCGACTACGAATTTACATTCTTCTCCTTCACGATTGCTGTATAATTTACCAAATCATTGATATTTTTGTCGGATATTGATCACAAAAACATACTGGAGAGGACAAGAGGTGACTGATCTGAACGTAGGAGTTTAGAAGATTGGATTCGGATCCTCTCATTTTTTAACGAAAAAATGTGTCTCATTTGCAATGACTTAAATGAATTATATAGAAAAAAATAAATTATGTAAAAATTGATAAAATGTTATTAAAGAATAAAATTTTATAAAATTTATTATTAAAGTCAATTTTGATCAAAAAATATTTAATTATGACAGCAAAATATGAATAGAAAATTTATTTTATTTCATTTTATTAATGGTACATAATTATTTATAATAAAATTTATCTAAAAAAAATTATTAATACACGAACAAGTAAAAAATAAAAGCTGAGACACTCTATTTCATTCTTGGATGATATTTAGTATGAATGAAATAAAATAAAATACTTCAGCTTCTTTTATTTTTGATTTGTTTATAATTAATGAATTTTTTTGAGTAAATTTTATTATAAACAATTAATGAAATAGAATAAAATAGACCCTTTATTAATGTTTTGCTACTACAGTTAGATATTTTTGGAGGTAAAATTAATTTTGATAATAAATTTTGTAAAATTTTATTCTTTTTGATAATATACTCTCAGTTTTTCTATAATTTATCTTCTTTTTTTTTTTATAATTCGCTTAAAGTCATTTTCAATTAGCTTAAGACGTTTCAAAATTCATCTAAGTAAATGGCAACACGAGGTTCATGTTCGTGAAAGAGGATCCGAATTCGAAGATTAATGCTTCACGCGTCTTGATGTAGCACCAACCGCGACTTTATCCAGTTCTGGTTGCACCAAAACAACCATGGCCACCATGGTGGTCCCTACTATGGCTAGTGCCTCCAATCATTTCGCTAGCCGTAGACATAAAGCTAACCAAAACAAGCTCTTCTTGTCTGATAATAATCGTACCTTCAAAACCAAGCTTATAGCTTCAGCAGTGAACAGCACTAGTATTGAGCTGGAAAGTTTTTCACAAATATATTAATAAATTATTTGCGACTAGCTCCTCATTATAAGTTGCTTTATGCGTATAGTTTGGTGGCTATAAATTTCAACTTGAGAGCTCAATTTGTTGCATTGAAACAATTAACAACTAATGGCAACGATGAGACTCCTTTCATCTGTTTTCCTCTTGTTCTTGGTCTCGGTTGGATCCTCTGCAGCTCCAACAACCCGTTGGAGAAAAAGGGTTCGGGAGCCGTGCAATAAGTTGGTTTTTTACTTTCATGACATTATTTACAATGGTCGCAATTCAAAGAATGCAACTTCGGCCATTGTAGGTGCACCCACATGGGCCAACAGGACCATATTAGCTGGGAAGAATCATTTTGGTGACTTGGTCGTGTTTGATGACCCCATTACCTTGGACAACAATTTGCATTCACCCTCTGTTGGACGTGCTCAAGGATTCTACATCTACGACAAGAAAGACATTTTCACTGCTTGGCTTGGTTTTTCCTTTGTGTTCAATTCTACAATGCACAAGGGTAGCATAAACTTTGCTGGTGCTGATCCTTTGATGAACAAGACCAGAGACATTTCGGTTGTTGGTGGAACTGGTGACTTTTTCATGGCGAGGGGAGTGGCAACTCTCAGGACGGACGCTTTTGAGGGTGAAGTCTATTTCCGGCTTCGAGTGGATATCAACTTATACGAATGTTGGTAGCATAAACTCCACTCTTTTCTTTTCTTGGAGAGCTTTCTATGCATTGTAAAACTTTCGCATCGCTCCCCTGAAAACAATTCCTACGTCACCAAGAATAAAACGCCCACTAAACAACCTAGAATATTTCTTGTCGAGTTTATGTATTTTTCCTCTTATTAATGTGTCTTTCTTGTGTACTGGTTTGCCTTCTTTTCTTTTTTGCCTGTATTGGAGGGGTACAATGTAAGGAGATATGTTATTCCACTTACAGAATTTTTATCCCTGCAATAGAGGAAAATTGTAGACTTTGTAGTGTCATTTTTTTTTACTTCAAATTTAGATGTGTTATGTGTGTCATTTTTTTAATTTAATAAATACTTGTTCGAACAACTTTCTTTTATATAACTCGTCATGCAACATTTGCTAACTCCAACTAAAGTTACTCTTACCATTCAAAATATACTAATTTACTTGATGATGGTTGGTTGTAGACGTTAATATTATAAGTAAGATAAGTCCAATATCACTCTCTCGATATTTATTTTCATTATTTTAATTTATGTTTAAAAGTACATATTAATATATATATATATATATATTTATAATTTTTGAATTTAAAACAATTTTTCACACAATTACAAATATATTATTTATCATTAAACATATAAATTAATTAATAAAGATTGTTTCAACTTAATTTATAGTTTTAAATTCAAACTATATATTAACTATAGTTTTACTTAACTCTATGTTTGTGATAAAAAAAAAATAATAATTTTTTTTTATTTTACAGTATGAGTCAGATAATTATTAAGATATTCATAAATGTAAAAGGATATTATATATATATATATATATATATATATTATCTAATTTAATCTGAATATGATTTGAGTTGTACATCTGAATATAAAATATTTTATATTTTTTTAATTAATTATTATAATTTTATTAATATTTTAAAAATTAAAAAATATTAATTTTTTTAATTAAACTACTACTATTTATTAATATAAAATTAATTGTGACAATTATGCGAATATCAATAGTAAAAGATTGGATAGAATTTACTGGGTCGAATGGAACTAACGTTTAAAACGGGCCTGAACCTCAAAGAACTAAAGCCCAAAAGAAATGTATGAAGCTGAAATTGAGAATGAATAGTTAGGCCCAATAAAGAGTGTATAAAAATATCTGACGGTTACTTTACGAAGGAGTTAGTTGGTTGGTGAATGGTGGCGCGGGGCTTATCCAGGGAAGCGGAGGAGCAGAGAGGAATTAGAAATGCACTCGCACCACTCCCACCCCTTACTACGCCCACAAGTGACCCCTTCTTCTTTTCCCAAACCATTTCCCTCTTCGTTTCTTCTTCTTCTTCCTTCCACTTTCTGCTCCAAGACATTGCGTTCCTCAACTCTCTCTTCTTCCCCAATTCTCCAAAATGAAACCAAATTGCGTATGTTCCTTTCAAAGGACTCTCCTCCTTGCTGCAATCCACCATCGCGTTTTGAAATTGATGAGCTCAGGGGCACAGGGGTAATTTCCTCCACCATTCCTCAACTTGATTTTACTTATTTACCGCCAATATCTCAAATGCATGTGTATTTTCACGTAGAGATTCACTCGTTCTTTCAAGAATTGCAACAATTCGCCTGAATCAGTTGCTTACAACTCCAATCGAGAATGTCACTTAGCTCCACCTCTTGTTTCTTCTGCTCTCAAGTTTATGCTGTTCTTCGGCTTCCTCACACTTCAGGACTCTTCTCCTGCTGTTGCTGCTTCTGACTTTTCCAGTGGTTTGAATTCGTTCCCTTTCTTTGGGGATATTGGTGACATAAGCACAGGTTTTGCTTCAGTTAGGAAAATCTCCCTGTCACTTTTACAATCGGAGTATTATTTTTTTTTAAAAGGAAAAAAAAATGAAGCATAATTTTAAGCACTGCAGTTCATTTACCCTCACTTAACATTTATTGATAGTTAAATTAGTGAGACTTACAGGATTTACGGTGGACTCTGTTGTGCTTTTAATTAAAATCACTTGGATTGGATATAACTTAATGGGCTACTCAAATACTAATATTTGTTCTTCTTTTATTCTCTTTTACAGGCTTTTCTGCTGATATTTTTCTCTGAACTGGGAGACAAGACCTTTTTCATTGCAGTGAGTGCACATACATCAATGGTTCATTAACCATTCATTTTCGACCAATTTAAAATAACGAGGAAATGAGATCGTATCTTTACCAAACCATAACCGCTCTTCTATTTCTGATGTGTTGTGCAACGATAAATATAGTCACCAATATCACCAAGCACATAATCTGACCCCATTGTCTTGGGTGTTTGATGTCTAATGCAGGCACTGTTAGCAGCTAGGAATTCAGCTGGTGTTGTTTTCCTTGGGACATTTGGTGCACTTGCGTATGTTTTATTGTTTCATGGTGATTTAGATGTCCTTGCAGTGTAAACTTCGTTTTGATGGAATTTTTCATGGTAACTCACCATGCATATTTGTTGAGGCAAGCAATTACGGTGAAAATATTTTTACAACCTAGAATGATGAAATTGGCTAATCAAAATCCTCCAAGAGTTAGCTAGTGGACAATACCAGTAGACTTTCAAGGCTTTGTTTGGGAGTTTGGAGAGAGTGGGAAGGAAAGGAGTTGAAAGGTAAGAGAGGAGAGGGGAAGAGAGGAGAAAGGAGAGTTAATACAAAACCCCCAAATTGGGGAACTTAAAAATATTGGATTAGGAAAAGTTTTGAAGGGTTTATAAACCCTCATCCTCTCATCTAAAAACTTTCACATAAGAAAAAACATTATATAAGTCTTCTCCTTCCCCCAAAAACTAACTCTCAGACAAAGTATAATAATGGTTTTCTTCACACATCTTATGGAAACACAAAGTAGTGCATTTGTGCAGAATTCTGCTGGCTTATGTTGTGTCTAAAAGTCAAATAACGACTTCAACATTTCCACTGAGTCCACTTTTTAAATGCCAATTATTTTATAATGTGTATATCTTTTAGTTATTCTCTAATCTTTAAATCATTAATATTTAATAATTTGTCATTGACAGGGCGATGACTCTCATATCTGTCGTACTTGGACGTACTTTTCATTATGTTGATGAAATCTTGCCGTTCAGGTTTTTCCTTTATTTCCTAGATTTATTTATAAAAGTGTCTGATATGACTTGGTTGAACGGGGAAAAGTGAATAGTTCTAATCATTCTTCACCTGTTACAAATCACAATGTTTTGAAACTATGTAACTTGAAAGCTTAATCTGACTATGATTGACTTGTCAAAAGCTTCTTCTAATAGGTTACTTTGCACAGGTTTGGAGAAACTGATTTACCTGTTGATGATATTGCTGCTGTTTGCCTATTGGTAAATATCACTTCGTCTTTAGTTAAATGCTAACGGTGTTTGCTATCGGATACATATTTATCCTTCATATTTTCTATTTTAGATTAGCCCTCTGTTAAGTGATACTGATTGACTTCAGGTGTACTTCGGGGTGTCTACCCTGCTGGATGCATCATCTAGCGATGGCCAAAAATCAGATGATGAGCAGAAGGAGGTAATATTTGGCATTTAGATATCATCTATGGCAGCATAATGTGCTGCATAGTGGATACATGAATACCGTCGAGCCCAGTTTTTTTTTCTTCCTTATGAAATGATTCATGATTTTAGGGTTCACAATATTTTCTAGGATCCGCACAATTTAATGGTTTCTATCTTAACCAGGCAGAGTTAGCAGTTTCAGAATTTTCTGGAAATGGTGCTGGGATACTAGCCGCTGCTAGCACAATTGTCAGCACTTTTCTCTTGGTTTTTGTTGCTGAATGGGGTGATAAATCATTTTTCTCCACAATTGGTGAGTACTAAAGTTAGAGTTGTTGGTTCATATAGCATATTGAACCCATAATTTTTCTCGTAGTTAGTATCAATTTTTTTTTTATGATTTGACAGTTTGGTTTGAAAGAATAGGAGAAAAAAAAATCTTGCTCTGAAATCACTATTAAAAAACTAATGTATAAATAAATAAATAGATATTGAGTTATTTTCGAATCTTAAAGCTGAGTGATAGGCTTGGTCCGGAAAGAGTTGATCATCAATTAATTTGGATAACTGTAATTTTAGTTTCATTTGCTTGTTGGATTTTCTTTCGTTTCAAATTGCAAGCTGTGTTATCTTGCTTCTTGTTGCACTGAACTTGCCTTCAAAGACTCTAAACTATTTTCCTCCTTACCATTCAGCCCTTGCAGCAGCTTCTTCTCCGCTTGGAGTCATAGCTGGAGCACTGGCTGGTCATGGCGTTGCAACTTTGGTAACTCTTTTTCCATTAATAAATTGATGCGACTTCCAAATATGGGGATCTGCTCTTTCAAAATAACAATAAAATAAGTCGTTTAAAATTCAAGCTTCTGGGGCATTATATACAATGTGGATTGGCCAAGTGCGTCCAGAAGGGGAAATGCATCAATAAACAACTAGTAAATGCAGGTCTAGTACAAAATGAGTTACTAGTACCCAAATTTTAAGTGCTTTTCAAACCAAATACTTTCGAGGTGGCTTTTGACAGGTTATCTAAAGCTATATTTTTTATTCCTCGTAAGCTATATTTATTACCCCCAACAAGCTAAAAAAATACTGAAATAAGGCTATTTGAAGAAGACCTTGAAGAGATTAATTCATGTAACTTGTGTTTGTTGAAGAACAGGTCCCACATTGATTGGTTGGGTTAGAAGCAAATAAAATGATATATAAGTAAGGGAGTCACATATCTAAAGTGTCAACGTATTTTTGGATAAGCAGTCATGCATCCTTAACTCAACTCAAGTTAAGGATGAGTTAAGGATGCATGATTGTTTTTGCTTATGTAAACATGTCAACAAGTTAGAAGTTAATAAAATGATATATAAATAAGAATCGTGAATACAAAATTTAAAAATATTTTTAAACTAATAAGTCACTTAAATTTATAGTTCAATAATTCATTCTTTCTTATTTTAAATTAGATTGCTACATAAAATGTTAGATAAAATATTTTTAGTCCTATTAAACATGTTAAATTTGGTTTAAACTTTTATTATTATTGCTATTTTAGTTTTGGTCTTTGTGAAATTTAAATCTTTTTCTATCGTCACTTACATATGCTATCTCTCTCAGAACAATCACTAACGACGGTAAGTTGATATGTTATGTTATTGTTAAGTGGTAATAAAAATCATTTAAAAAAATTAAAATTTATGATAGCTAAAAGTAATAAAAAAAAATAAAGAATCAAAATCAAACTTACCATATCTACAATCCTGAATTGTAATTTGTAATGATATTCCTTGGACCAACTGTCATTTTCTTCATATCACATATTTGTAAATTGCTTTGGGCTTTTATATTCTTAATGTATATTTTATATGCAGCTAGCTGTACTTGGGGGCTCTTTACTGGGGACATTTTTGTCAGAGAAGGTAAAGTTTGCTTGTAGCCTCCATTCTTGATATGCTGTGTTTTGTTAGTTCCAACCACGTGGTTTGTCCGTTGCCCAATTGAACTAGATTTTATATTTTATTTAACTCTCTGGACATATGCTATCATCCCAAGTAATGATTAACTTATTAAACCGAAAGAGCATAATTTCTTGAATTATTGCTACGTATAGAATCTGGCTCATGCAGGATTTCTGCCCTGGAATTCCAGCATAAAATATATATGGCTGCTATGAACAGCAGCAACATGTTAGGCGTTCCTCTAGAGGAACCTTATTGGGAACGAACATGTTCTATCATCCAGATAATATATGACCGAGTGAATTCTCCCCGCTGGTTGGGGTGATTAGGAGCACCTTAAGCGTCCGAAAATGCTTATGCTCTTACCACCGCACGCTTTATATTCTGTGTGTAACGCACTACGGTTGAAGTATCAGCTTACATTTATGTGTGTTTTGTAATATATTACCTTCGTGTAGCTATAAACTAAAACAGTTTTTATTCATTTTGAAGGTTATTGCCTACATCGGAGGTGTTCTATTTCTCGTCTTTGCTGCGGTAACCGTATTTGAAATTGTGCAATAAGGGTTAAGAGAAATGCAATATAAGCTCAATACAAAGGCAGAGAGAACGCTTTGACCTCTAGAGTAATACAATTCTGCGCTCCCTTTATTAAATTTTATTAATGGCGGCTCCAGAGGGAAAAGAAAAATATTTATTACCAGTATCTGTTTTAGGAATAGTTGATCTACCTTTCATTGCAATCCTAGTCAATTATGACAATTTTTTTGCAAAAGGTAAAAAATCATGTCATGTTAGCCATTGAAAAGTTGTTATTTTTTAAAACGAAAATTTTGATGCATAATTTATGTGACACGTGATTTAATTATTAGCAAATAGCTTGCATATTGTACGGAAATTTATAAGCACGCATGAAATGTAAAAAAAAAAACAAGTATATATATATATATTAAAAAAATTCAAGATTATTTGTTATAAAAAATTCATTAAATAAGTTTTTTTTAAATAAAAATATTCTTCGGAAAAAGTAATTCTACTTGAGCTGTATAACATCGTATAAAATCATTATGTGCAATAAAATTCTTTCAAATTATTGGTCCAGTTAAAGTAACCGATTTAATTGTGGATTTATACATATTAGCTTGTATATTTGGCAAATAAAATAAGTTGAACTCATAAATTCGTGGGCTAACCTATTAACATTCAAATAATTAAAGAACTTGATTTTTAATATTTTAAAGTAGAAAAGGGAGAATATAAGTAATTTTTTTTAACAAACCAAAAGGTCAAATAAAAAAACCATGGAGGCTAATATGCAAACTGGGTTGTTTAATTCATAATTGTGTCCATAATTATTTAAATACGAGCCTACTTGAAGTATATTTTTATTTTAAAGAGGGAAATTTCACCCAAAAATATACATAACCTTTTTATATAAATAAATATACTTATATTTTTTAACTTGTATGAAGTATTTTAAAATGAATAGGTGATAAATAATATAATTATTAGTATCAACTTTTAAGACTTGAACTTCAAAATTTTAAAAATAAATTTTTCTTAAAATAACTTATTTATTATATTTTTATATAATAAATATTTTTCTTAAGAAGAAAAGGAGGTAGTAGAATTATTCCTCAAATAAAATTGGTGGCTTAATGATTTTTTTAATATTTTTTAATAATTATTTACCAAAATAAAATTAAAAACAAACATATTTTTTGTTTGGAGCAAATTTTTGTCATACCAGATTATGTTTTGTATTTAAAAGAGACGAATATATTTATTTTTTTATTTTTTTCTCTCTTTCCATTGACACAATTCATTTATTTTTCTTTCTCTTCCCACTAACATAATTCATTTATTTTTTTCTTTCTCCACAACCAATCTCATTTAATATTTTCTCTAAACTCAACATCATTTACACAACACAACTTATTTATTTTTCTCTCTCTTTCCATTAATACACTTTATTTATTTTTCTATTCCTTCTCTTTTCTTCTCTTATTAGTTCAAGTGTGTTTACAAAACTGTATTTTTAAATTCAAATTTTTATTTTACTTTTTCGTCTCTATTATATACGAAACACGTAACACATGTCATATTCTGGTTAATTTCATCTTTATATTAAACAAAATAAACAGATTAAAAATAAAAAAAATAATTTTTTCTCTCTTAGATACTAAAGGAAACACAATCTAACGTAGCAAAAATTTACCTCAACTAAAAAATATGTTTGTTTTTAATTTTATTTTGGTAAATAATTATTAAAAAATCATTAAGCCTTGTATTTGGTTGTAGGTGCAGCTATTCTCTGAACTGGACAGTGATGGCTTAATGCTTTCTCGCTTGGTTGTCAATGTTGTGTCTCGCTCCTCCCTTCCACTTTCCAATTGAAAAATTCATAATCCCAATCTTTGAAAACCCTATACCGTTCCCCCATCTCCGCGGTCTTCATCGAAACAGCTTGATTAAATCAAACCAAATCGAGAAATTGCCTAGAAAATTATCGCGAGGATCGCCGGTATTAAATCTTAATTCCAATCGAATTTGTCGTTGACTTATTCATCTTCAACGCTACGCTGTTATGTTTTTCAAGTCAATAATCATTATTCGTACTTTTCGTCTCAATTTTATTCATATTTAATAGCTGAAACTATCTAAAAGATTTTGGAGCCGTTAATTGAGATTGATAGTATTTTTCGTCTCAGCTATGCACAAAGTAAGTTACTTGTGTTGACTGAAAGATTCTGTATTTTAAAGAGTGTAGCCGATAGAATGGCCAAAATCGACAAGGGATGGATTGGATCCCTGCTATTCATTTTCCCTCTAATTTTTTGGAAGACAAACAATATTTCGGGTTAATTCAAATTATCTGTTTCTATCTTATTCGTTCTTTTTAACACTGCTCTCTTGTTTCATGTTGGTTGGGTCACGCATTATGTCTTATGCATAGTTTGTTTGTTCTATTCATCACGGAGTATGCTTTAAATTTTAATACTTGGATTTATTGTTTTTCACGTGTCCATCGTATGTATAAAGAAGATAAGAGTCAGTGTGTGTTTTGTTTCTATAATGAAGCAACTAGTTATTGCGTTTCCGTTTGCTTGGAACTTTGTGCTAATAGAACACTAAATAGAACACTGAACACATTCTCTGATGTCCTAGCTTGTTTTCTCCAGTTGGTTGGTTTCAACATCCCTGATTTAATTTGGTGGTTCAAAAGCACAAAAAATGGAAGAATATAACTAATATATTTTTCCAGTGCATTGGTCAAGTAAGTAACTCAATGATGGTTATTTGTGGTGGATGTGGTTTGTGACCCAACAAATTTTACTTGCAGTTGCAGTTTGATAAAATCTTAGAGTTGCCATTTTGGGGAGAACTTTACAAACTGCCACTCTGGCAGTCCCTAGTCAAAAACCCAAAAAAAAAAAAAAAAACAGTTACAATGCTGTGTTATACCCTTTCAGTAGTATCTTTGAGACTGTCAAAGTTCAAAGATGCTCTGATCATGTTTTGGATTGTTAGAGCCTTAGTGGAAGATATTACAATCAAATTTTCAGAGTAATTAATAAGGTGTTAATGTTCAAAAGTCAACTTCGGTTTCGGTTCCCTAAAATAATGGTCCCTGGCCTCGCTACTCAAACTTAAAATGTGGAAACATGCACAAAAAATTAATTTACTGATTTTGTCTTGGTTTTCTTTCTTACTTTATTGAGACTTGGATATCTATTTCAATCAATTTTAGTGATGAACTGCTAAGCATTATTGATAAAAGTTTTATTTTGAATTATTGTTTCATATTGGATAAATCAGTCTACTTTTATATATTTATTGTGTTCTTTTGGCTTTTGATACCATCAATGCAAATGTGTGCTTGTTACTGATGAAGTTGATATAAACATGAAAAGATTGCTCCTTTTGTTTTCTTTTTTGAAAAAATTGATGCTCAAATATGTGAAAATGTGGGTGCAGGTCTGGAATCATTTTTATTCTGGAAAGTGTTCCAGTGCTGACCATGTGGTATGTCACGAACAGGAATGATTGACTTCCATGCTGGGTTTGGAAGGATTCAAATCTTGGTGAATTAATGTGCACTTACAACTGATAATCTCAATATCGGTTTAATCTTCTGTTATATTAGATGGATCGACGCGATACTTCAGGATTTGTTAGTAGGGGATGCATTTTACTCTCATAGGTGTATCTAACCCTAATTTTGTAGATATGCAACTCTTTTTCATGTGGAAGTCAGGCATCTGTTCTGTTGAAATTTATCAGTAGGTGTAGGTTTATTTGTTTCATGTATGCAAGGTTCCAGAACTTGAGTTTCACAGTTAATCCTCCTGCAAATGCATTCAAGATTTTGGGCAACCCAATGCAGATTGAAGAAAATGGAGCTGATTATAGCACAGATACCATCTTACGGCTTGATTCCCTTGGTTCTTCAATCTCAAAGGGAATAAAGAGAAAATGGGAATTGATTGATGAATGTATGGGTCAGAGAGTTGGCACTTCTTTGTCACTTGGGCTTGGACTTTCAACAAGTTCCTCAGACAGCAAGGGCAGTTCAGCTACTGCTTGCACTGCTATATCTTCTGCCAAAGAGATTGATGAGGAATCGTCTATGGATATTGAACTGGACTTTACACTTCATCTTGGCTGTGATAAGGTACAGAGCCTGAAAAAACCTGCTAGCTCAAATTTGAAGATATTTGAGTTGCAGCCCAAGGTTGATTTGGGGTTGAGCCTTTCCTCGGAGCCCTCTGAATCTGATATTACTAGTGTTTGTCTAGGTCCCTCAAAGGCCTCACCTCTTCAATTTAACATGGAGATCCCATTAGTTTTCAGTGAAAAACCAAACATAGAAGAGGGATCAACTTCGTGTAGTTGGAGACCAGGGCTTGTTTCACTTAATAAAAGTTCTAGTGTAATGTTAAACCAGGATGCAAATAAGTTTCACCGTTATCCCATTACTATGGATCTCTCATTGACTAGACCAAAAAGTTCAGTCACCTTTACTTCCAGGGTAACACCGCAAAAACAACCACTACTTCACAACTGTAATTCAAAGACATGTCAGGTTGAGGGATGTGGAAAGGGAGCTAGAGGTGCTTCTGGACATTGTATATCTCATGGTGGTGGTAGGAGGTGTCAAAAACCCAGCTGCAATAAAGGAGCTGAAGGTCAGACTGTGTACTGCAAGTCTCATGGAGGTGGCAGGCGATGCGAATATCTTGGTTGCACTAAGAGTGCAGAACATGGTGGCAGTCAGAGATGCAGTCATGAGGGTTGTATCCGAGCAGCCAGAGGGAAGTCTGGATTGTGTATTCGGCATGGTGGTGGCAAGAGATGTCAGAGAGAAAGTTGTACCAAGAGTGCAGAAGGGCTGTCAGGTTTTTGTATCTCACATGGTGGAGGGCGTCGATGTCAAGCTCCTGGATGCACAAAAGGGGCACAAGGGAGCACTATGTTCTGCAAAGCACATGGTGGGGGAAAACGTTGTACAGCACCAGGGTGCACCAAGGGTGCTGAGGGGACTACACCATTTTGCAAAGGCCATGGTGGAGGAAAACGCTGTACATACCAAGGTGGTTGTACTAAAAGTGTTCACGGAGGTACCAATTTCTGTGTGGCACATGGGGGTGGAAAGAGGTGCGCCTTACCTGACTGCACAAAGAGTGCTAGGGGACAGACTGATTATTGTGTACGTCATGGAGGAGGCAAGAGATGCAAGTTTGAAGGATGTGTAAAGAGTGCACAAGGTAGCACTGACTTTTGCAAGGCACATGGGGGAGGGAAGAGATGCTCTTGGGGCCATCCTGGGTCAGAATATAGGAATCAACAGGGTGCTCCTTGTAATTCATTTGCAAGGGGGAAGACAGCTCTTTGTTCCCTTCACAGTGGGCTAGTGCTGGATAAGAGAGTTCATGGAGGTGTATCCTTGGGACCAGTTACTCAGGAAACTTATGTTAGTAAACCGGATGAACTGAAGCAGTCAGTCATTGACAAAGACATGGACGTGGATATGATGAACATGAGTAGTAGCCCTCAGACAGCTGGTGCAATAACCTATTGTGATGTTAAAATAAATGAAGTTGCAATTCATCGCCCAGCTGGGCCAGATGGTCACATGCCAATGTCAGTAGCAGTTCCCGAAGGCAGGGTGCATGGTGGAAGTCTGATAGCAATGCTGGTGGGGAGTTCTAGCCTTGGTTCAGGCAGTGAGAGAAGTCCTGTGAGTGATCCGTCAGAGCCAATTAAAGCTTGCACTGTGCCCCAGAGTTGGGTTTGAGGGTAGTTATTGCTTTTGTAGTCATGATCTCCCTTGTCAGAAATTTTTTTCTGCAGGTTTTCTTCAACGTTTGGTTGTTGATGATTAATGTCATTGTCTAATATCTATGAATTGTTAAAACGGAGAGAATATGAAGTTGTTTGACATTCTTATGGAAGAGGTGTCATGGTAGGACAACTTCGATTAGGTAGTTGGTGTTTTTCTCTCTTTCCTCATTTCTCTCGTAAATATCATCTGATAAATCGTCCAACAGCTTGTGACATCAGTTTGTTACTTGTAGAGTCTGTTAGTGGAACCTTGTATTCTGTTTGTAATAAATCCTTTTTACTGAGTGCGATCGAATCTGTTGTTATAGCGCTTGTTTTAGTCCATGATCATTGGTTACTCTTTGATAACTGCTTGACAGGCTACCTGGGCTGTGCTTGCTCCCGTTTGACAATTACAACTGTTTTCATTAATGTAATAAAATTGTGTTGTTTATATCCTTCTAAAGAAGGATTGTGTTAATTCTGTCAAACATCATCGGTTACTTCTTGTAACTTGGAAACACTGTCCAACCCTTAATCTTACTAACAGAGTATATTTGGACACAATTGCATTGCACCTTCATTTACTTTCGTTCTACAACCCGTTAGGCTTGAACTTGGCCATCTTGGAAAGCTTATCAACTGCCTCTACCAAGTGATCAACTCTGGCCACAAACTCCACGAGTGAGGAAGTGAAGTTGACCAGTGACAATGCTGCGGTACTCTCTAACGCTCTCATCCTATTTCTAGGTAACAACTCTGTGCCTGTCCCACTATGATCTTCTTCAAACACATCCACCTTTATAGATGGCCAAGAATATAGCCTTCTCAACTGCTTCCTCATGCTCTCATGGTAACATTCTGTTTGTTCTGCCATCACCCTCTGATCTGGGAAGGGATAAAGGGTAGTTGACAGGGTATGTAGGAGCTTTGCGAGGGACCTGGAAGGGTAATCGGGGGATTCAACAGTGGTTGTGAATAGATAAGAATGGAGGTGCATAGAACGTTGCAGCCTCTCGGTAGAGCTATGAAGCCTTTTAATGTGGGAGTTTTTCATACTCCATTTCATGCTGCTAATATCTCTTCCCATGATCCTTACTAGCTCCGCAGCCTGATTCGATGCCTCTAGGATTTCTGATCCGAACGCGACTCGCAGTTTGTAGGGAGCCTGAAAACCAATCATTATAATTAGACGAATTTCACTACGTCCACATAATGGCTAGTAGTTACTAGTTTCTGGATTAATTATATTAGTGATTCAGCACTTTTATACACACTGTTAGCTCATTCTTGTTTGTCTTCTCTGAACGTCTAAAACCGGCCCGGAACACACTAGCATTCCAAGCCTGACCCCGTTATGCACGAGAATGTATGTCAATTTCAAGTTGTTTTTTGCATTTTCTTTTTGTTATTCATATTATATATATATATATATAAAAGAAATGATACTTTTACACTAACAAAAATCTAAAATTTCTTACACTCAATCTGAACCTTTTATTTAACTTAAATCTAATGAGTTATTTATATATAAATTAACTGAATAATTAAAATTGAGTGTAATATATATATATATATATATATATATATATATATATATATCACTCTAGTGCTTCCGGTGGTAAATATATCTTTGATAAAAGATTAATTGAGAAAAAAATGTATTTTTTTTCCTAAAAATAAATAATAATTATTTTTTTAAAAAATTGAACTAAACATTTTTATTGAAGAACTGATGATCCATGCAATAGGCAACATACACTATTTAGTATTTAAATAATCAATAATTTGATAAAATTTCAACGGAATATACCTTATAAATAACTTTTGTAAAAAAATTATATGTAAATACCAACAAAAAAAATAGTTAGCAGTAAATTTTCATTGAAAAAATGTTGATATATATAACCGCACGCAAATTTAAAATATTCAATGATAGTAAAAGGCTGTCAACTACGAATGTGTAATATGAGAGCTTATCAGTTAAATCTTTAAATATTTCAACTCAATTCTGAGTTTTCTGCACTTCATACAGCTTCCGTATATATACTTTATATATGAGCAATAAGTGCAAATTACGATGAATTATAGGGAGCTTTATCAAAATTCGCCACAGTTAGCATCTTTTACTAAACAACCCTATCCTAGTAACATGTTTTATACGTACTAAATAAAATTACATAAGGAAAAATGTGTATCTTTAATTTTGTGGATTAAACTGTAGTTTTTAGTCCTTCAAATTTTTAAAAGATGGCTCAATGATTATATTTCCAAACACTTGATTAAACATTCCCAAACTTCAAACATCAACATGCGTTGCGCGGAGCATAGAAGGATATGAGGCACTTACGAATATTCTTATTGATTAATAGAGCATAATTTATTCATCACACACCAAGAGGCAAGAGCACAGGCTAAATGAGACAAGAATGCGACCTGAATTTCTGCGTGTACAATACTATGGAGTGTCATAACTTCATAAGCACAGTGTCGCAAGACTGCCCCAACTTGAACATATTGTGACCATGGAAATGAAAAGTGAAGGAATCTACCATGTGGTGGCTCCCATTTTGCTGAATTAGCCTTGCAATCAAAGCAACAGGATAACACATTATTTTCGATACATTATAGCACTTGAAAACTGAAGCATAAAACAAGTGATGCTATTTCAATGAACACATACCAGAGTCTCAAGCTTTGGCCCTGAGTTCAAGGTGCTTTCACATCTCTTATAAGCTGGTTCGTCTTGAAATGCATCTATACTAGCCGTGGTGAATTTAGACTTCTCTGATCCGTCTTCTAAATATTTCTTGACACATTCTAATATTATACAAATAAAAAGAAAACAAAGTTGGTAAATGTGTTGAAAATTAAAATATGTATAGCTTATAAGCACATAAATTAAATTAAAGACTTCAGTTTAAACTGAATAAATCAATTCATCAGATTTTTTTTTATAATTAATATTCATTTATAAATTATTTCTTATATTAAAATAATCATATTTTAATTCTTATGAGTGTTTTATTATATGTTGATCTTTATTATTTTAATATTGATAAAAAATTATTATTAATTAAATTATTGCTAACATCACAAAAATATTTTTTTAACAGTATTAAATCGATAAATGCTAAATTAAGTATGATAAAATGTTTATACAAAGAAAAAAAAACAAATTGTTTAGATACAGAAATTAATACATAAATTATTTTAAATAAGAAAAACTAAATATGAATTTTAGTGTAATGTTAATTTCCATTTTTATTGAAGCTGAGGTACCTTACCCTCAAGTGAATCTGCCACGGAATAGAAGTTGTTAACCAGCTGTGTATGTAGTAACTCCCCAGCCCATATAGGAAAAATTAAGACATTCACCAAGACTGACATTGTTCCTCCAATGGCGATTGAACACAACCGATCGATCATTGTTCTAATTGGGTTTCCCATTCTATAACCAGAGATTATGATCAAGCAGTAACTTAGCAGTATGACCCTAAACCCGTACTCGTACTCCACAAGGGATGGCCACATTTTCATGAATGACGTTATGACCGCTGCATATGTATCAAAATATCATATAATTAACATCATTCATTCATATTCGTTACTTTTGGAAAATGCTGAACGATGGCATGCATATTGGTAATTAACCCGCGTACATCTTATATTCATATTATAGGACAAAATTGGAGAACATGTAATTATAATTACGTACCGATGATGAAGATACTAAGACCAATAATAATAGGCTCAGCGACGTGGCCACTGAACATCGCTGTCTGAGCAACAGCAATGGCCAAGATTCCCGCCATCAAGCTTCCAAGTGCTCGATTAAATCCTCGATTAAATGTAGCTCCTTTAAAATTTACCCATCAAAATTAAATATACATAATACATTTACACGTTGATATATATAATGCATGCTTGCTTGTGCAGTATATATACATATATGTATAGCAACAAATTTTGCACTTGACGAAATAAAAAGTTTCGATATATTTTTTCTATGTTTTCATGAAATGGCATGTGTTATGTATATCAATTAGTAGCAACATACCAACAGTGTATTCGAAGACAAGGATAGCAGTGAGAATGGCCCATACGATATTGGGTCCAAAGAGTTGGTATGGGGCTCCAAATAATATAAGCAAAGACACAAGAAGAACAGCTAGTCCAACTTTGAGCGCAAATATTACTCTGCCAGTGTCTTCCTTGCAAAATTCCCATACATTCTGAATCTGAAGCCAAGCTTTACACGAGGTAGTGGTGGTTGCAGATTTTGTGTCAGTCTCAGGCAGCTCAGGTTTTGTACTTGTAGGAATGATAACTTCAATGCTCTCCATTTTTCTATTCATTCATCACAGTAAGTACAAGAACTTCTGGTTCTGTCAGGGACTCTTTGATAAGGAGCCCCTTTACACGTGCTGTATTAATGTTTATCTAAATGACTAACCCTGCAAAACAAATAACAAGGATGAAGTTATGGACGAATGAGCACAAGTGTGATTGTGTGTGTATTTATGGATGAGTGGCAGGAAAGAGAATGATAATTTTACCAGCATATGCCTACAGTATATCGAGCAAAAGATTTGATACGACAATAATTTTAGAGATGAAAAATATTGGAGGCAAAAACTATCTCTAGATAAGAAGATGCTTAGCCTCAATAATACTATTTGGATGGAGAATTAGAATCGGAAATTTCCATATAATGCAATTTTCTGTGAAACAGCTTTTCTGTCAAACCAAGCTGTTTCAAAGATAGATGTGCCCAAATTGACACAGATGGGAAAAGTGAGAATTAATAAGAATACATTATTCATTTCACAATAATTTTTACGTACTCATTTTTTTCTTAACCTCTTATTATCATTTTATTTATGTTATCTTCACTTCTATCTTTTTTTTTTCTTTATTTCTCTCTTATCTAATAGCATGCACACGAAACAAATTAAAATATCATATATGTGTACACATGCTTACGTGAGGACATACATATTCACGCGATTTAGGGTCCATGAACGTACAGAGTGAAAACTGATTATCGTTCATAAGTTAGGAATCAATTTTAAAACAAAATCAACAGTATCAGTGTTTCATGCACACTTTAAAAAAATACTTTCAATCGTAATAATTAATTTTCAATTCTATAGAAGAATCGATTTTTCATTAATTCCAAACGGAGCCTACAAGCTCTATATAAGCCATCACTGACCATAAAGACTAGAGGTATGATCAGTGGATCATCAAATTATATGCTAAACAGAAGTGCAGTGAGTTTACCAATAATTCAACATTAATAAAACAGGTCATTTATGTATTTCTTTGAAATAGTGTTTATTCATGAAGAAATCTTTAACTAGGAATATATCTCCTAGATAAATAGTACAATGCCTCAAATTTCTTTTCTGTCCTGAGGGAATGGAGATACCCAAAGTTGTTACCATAATCATGCTGCGAGAATTTTCTTACCCACCTTATGTTCGGTTATTTGCTGGGTTCTCTGCTCTATTCGATCGTCTCCGACAGCAACAATGGTTCAAGTTGCCCCGCAATTCATGTATATATGATGTCATATATTCCTTAACTTCTGTTAGATATTATTCTTGATTGCAAACTTAATATCGTGTCCTCCTATATGCATGCATGTACATTATATGGCGCAATGCACAAGTTAATTTAAGAAATTTAAATGGTCTGCAGCTTTTATTTTTGAGATAATTATTCTTGTATAGACATATTTTCCACAATACATTTTTATAATTTACTTTTTTCTTCTATTTTTTTTTCATCTTAACTTTTTTTTTTCTCTCTTAATTAAAAAAAAAGGTTGTAGAAGTAGAATTTCTCTTTAATTTATGAACGTCTAAGACAGCTGGTATACCCCTTGACAGAAGTGATTGCTAAACTTTATTCATCCCACACTTTGTTGGGCAGCATTAATTACATAATATTTTGGGCAAGATAAAACTTCACTAGTTTTATTTCTAGCTATTTGAGGTGACCCTAAGAGACAGCGCAGCATTGTTTAATTACAGATTCATGTGCGTGCTGTGCTACAATGACTTATTCCCATTTATTTGGGCAATCAGTATAATAATGGATGGATAAGAAAGCATATGTTATAAGATTCGGAATATGTTCTGGAGAAAAAGATTGGCTTTGATTTCAGAGTAATTGCTGTTCAAGTGACAACTTGTTAGTTAACCTCTGGCACTCACTCATGATAATACCACCTTTATTGATGTGAACTGTGAAACACCTTAGAGAATCTTTCGTCCCAACTTCTCTAATATGCACCAAGATCATGACCCACACACATCATATATATTTATATAAACAATTATATAGTTGTTTTTTTAAAATGATATAAACCTTTAATTGGAGGTGAGATTCATTTTTATTTCAAGGAACTGAGCTCGTAACAAATTAATGTATTTTTGTATGGTGAAACACGATATATGTTGTACAAGTCCCTTACCTCTTCAATCAAGGTAAAACTAAATCGCATCATTTTCCGAGGGGCTTTAACTATACGTAAATAAAACTATAAAGATAAATAAAATAGAAAAAGAAAAAAAAAATATGCTGATAAAAGAGACGATAAGAAATTTTCTTCCAGCTTTTAATCGTTAAGGAAATGAAAATGCATTAAGATAATAATAAAGCCTCAAATATAAAATGCAAAATAAGACTACAAAAAAACTCGTTCGGAGGTTGATTTCTCTCAATCTTTTGCGTCATGATCTCTTTCTTTTTGGATATCTGATATTTATAACTATTAGCAGAGACCAATAATACACTCTTAATTATTAAATAAAATTTATTAAAAACTATAAAAATATAAAAAATAAATATTAAATTAAGAATAAGAAAGAAATAATATAATTTTTTAATTTAAAAATATGTTAAAAAATTATTAAAAAGTGTGATGTTACCTTTCAGTTAGGACGCTTTGGTGCCAAGTAGACAGAGTTTGTGCATCCGGCATTACAACATTTTGATCTTATCGCCTTGATAATGGGTATCCGAAGATTAATTCATGTTTAGTTCTAATTAATGCATTGATATTAAGTAATAATTGTAACAACATTTGGTCAAGTTTTCTTTCTTTCTTTTGATATCTAACTCAGTTAAATAACTAAAACCATACAATGAAATATATAATATTGATAATTTACCAAACAAAAAACTAGAAAATTAAAATTAAAAAGACACATAAACAAACTTATAACTAAAAACAACTACATAAAAGTAATTTTAGGTAACTTTTAAAGTAATTATCAAACATGGTATGATTAAAAATTCTAACTTATCAATTTAAATTGGATTTTTTTTAAAAGAATTTATTTAAAGCAATAAATACTTAACCTAGAATGTAAAAATTCACGATGACGAAACTCTTTAAATCAACCTTGACTGTCATTTCTCCATAGCAAAAGGTGACTGTTGAGCGGAGGTTCAATTCCTCCTCCATGATATTTTTCATTTTCCTGTACATACTTTTTATCCCTGAAAAACGGAGCGAAGAGTGAATAATAATAATAATAATAATAATAATAATAATAATAATAATAATAATAATAAGCTAGGTAAAATGAATATTTCTACTTGGTGATTATTTTTAGTATCAGGAGAATTTGTAGCAAAGAGAAAAAAAAACTAAAATTTTGTGTTTATATTAATTAAGTTATTTTCAATTGTTGTAATGGTAGAATAAAATTATAATTATAAATTATTATAATTTTTCTCTATTCTTCTTATAAACGTAATAAAAATGGGACAATATAAAATATTTTTTTCTCCTTTCTCTTATAATTTAGTCAAATCAAATATTTTATTTTCTCTTATTTTCTCTTCATTGCACTTGACTCGTTTAAAATAGTATGCAAGTTTCAATTGGAATCTTCTTGCCTCTAAACGAAATAATACATTGAGCTAATGATAACATGATTTGCACCACAAATTGAAATTATATTTAATTAATTTTAAAATAAAAAATCAATTTAAGATATATTGTTTGTAAGAATATATGGTCATTTGACTCTTAAATAAGTTTGAATTTTTATTTTTAAATATGAATATTTTTTATTATATCCGTTTCACTTTTCTAACACATGACTTTACCATTATTCAACACTTATTTTTATATATTTTTAAAAAATATTAAATTTTCACTTGATTTCAATTTTTTTTATGTTAACTGTTTTGAAACCTAACTTTCTCAAATTAATAGTTTTAAAACTTTATATTATTTTTTCATCCATTTACTTTTGTTCATAAACATTTAAATCTTATAATTTTTCTTCTTAAATAATAATTATCTATATTTTCACTATTTATTGGATGTAATTGCACTTATTTTTTTGTATTATCTACTCTAGTTTTAAAAATCACGAAACACTTGTCGATTCCATACATGCATGCATCACGTGTGCCATATTGACATGGTAGATCTACATGCACCAGCAGGAGCATATTCCATTTCTGTTGAAAATTGTATGTGTTTGTGCCATTGATGTGGTGTGCATTTACATCAATAATTTAACTAAATATTTTAATAAGTTATTATTGTTTAAAAATTTATATAGTAAATTTAATTATAAAATTTGTGAAAATAAACGACAAAATCAATTTTCTCACTGTACCAAGTGAGAAAATATTTAAATTTATATTGTTTATATTTAAATTTTCTCACCCGTGATTAATTTATATTGTTTCTGCTTTGACATCAAATTAAATTACTCGTAAAAATATCTTTAGTGCTATATATGTTTTAGTGAAATCTACTCATATAATAAGTGAATTTAAGTAAGTTGAAAATAAAATACATAAATTCAAACCGTGTAAGCATGAGAAAAGGTTGGAACAGTGGTTTAAAATAACATTTTTAAAAGAAAATCAACTCACCACTCAAAATATATTTATTAATTTTTTATTGTATAGTATTATGCGTAAGAAAAAAAATATTTTGCAATTAGTATTTTGCATTGAAAGGTAAGTGATGCTCTTACTTCAACTTATGCGATCCCAATATAACTTTTTTTTTTTTTGCTGAAATTTGACGAAAGATGTTGCAATGAAATAGAATAAAATATAATAAAGTAAATATTATGTTCAATTATTTGGATATATTATGACACAATGAAATAAAATTTTGTTACATCATTTATATAATGAATAAAGCAAAATTCATTATAATATTTTTAGAGCAACGCTACTTGGTACAAAAAAATTAGTAAAAATTTAGATGAATACAAAGGTGGTTATATTTTATTAGTTAAATAACAAATAAAAATAATAAAATTAAAAAATTGACAAAAATTATCAGAAACTGCTTTCGTCAAAAAAATTTGGGTACAATTTAGTATTATCCATATTTTTATTCTTATATTATCTTGTAAAATAAACAAATAAAAAAGTATATAAGAATTTCACAAATACGAGTTAAAGATACATTAGCAATTTAATAATTAGAAAATTAAAATTAATTAAAATTCCATTCCATGTCTTTTAAGTTAAGAAGAAACAAAAATAAAAATTTTGAATGAAAAAAGATAGAATTTATTTCAATTAAACCATTTCATTCTCCTGCACATCGACTCCATCTTTGGCTCCTACCGACTCAAATGATCAATATTCATTTCAAATGCATTTTTTATAAAGTGCTATGCTTAATTGCATTATAGAATCTGTGAGAAATTAAATATACTAAAGAACATTGATATAAACAAGCCAAGAAAGGAAAGTAGGAATTAGAACTGTCAAATTAAACCAACGAATAAACCATTAAAACAGGGATGCAAGAGAAAATGCATATTTGAATCTCTTTCAAAAACTGGATTCAAAGTTGGAAGGGCCACTCCTAAAATAGAGGGAAGTGGGTGTTTGTCATCCTTCGTCAACAATTTTCCAGATCCGTTCATTTCGCTCTCTCCTTAATACGACAACTTTCCCTCTTGTCTTTCACATTTTCTTCAAATGTACTTTTTTTCCTTCCCATGTTGGGGATTGACAAATTAAAAAAACAAAAAACTCGAAAGCGATTTCGATAATTCCTCTGTAGTAGAATTAGAAGATATTGAAGGTAATTGGGTACCAATAATTTGTAGTGATGGAACAAAAGAGCATTTTGTTATCGGCGCTGAGTGTTGGGGTGGGAGTGGGAGTGGGGATTGGCTTGGCTTCTACACAAAACGTTAACAAATGTGGAGTTAACAATAATTCATCATCAAACGCTATTTCTCCAGAGAAGATGGAGCACGAAATGCTACGACTAGTTGTCGATGGCAGAGAAAGCAATGTCACTTTTGATCAATTCCCTTATTATCTTAGGTATTCCCACAGCAAACCTTTCTTCTTCCTTTTATTTCTTTTCTCCTTCTTAATTAGCAATATATTTTTATTCAAAATATATTTAAACCTTTAGTTTAATTTTAATACACTATCAGAAAAATATTATTCTAAAAATCAATTAGAATATATCGTGTATACTTTTTATATTAATTAGTACAAAAATTAATAATTCATGATTAGATAATAGTGTAAATTTTTTACATGTCAATATATTAAAATTAAATTCTTTGTCTTTTCTTTTATTTTTCAACGTGTGATTTCTAATATTATATATATATATATATACACACTATTGGGGTAATCTATACTAATTACTGATACTCTCCAACATTCTGTTGTTCTGATTCCTGATTCTAGTATAATTATGTTATTGCAATTTTTTCTATTTCTTGAAATCATGAATTTAGTTGCTATGACTACTGTACGCTTCTCTCTGTCATGTTTTGTTGTTTTTAGATTCTTTTTTGCTTCACGAAGGAGTGTATTGTGTAACAAAGATGAGCTTAGATGATATTCCAAAATAACGTAGTATAATCAATCTTGTAGAGTGATAAAATGTGTCATACATGTTTTCTAAATGAATTGAGAACAGCCATCTATCTAATTAACATGCACTATGGAAAATTATTGAAAGAGGAAGATATTGCTCAATTCTACTACTATTACGAAGTCATGCCCTCAATGACAAACTTAATGAAAGCTTAAATATTGACATTGAATGCAGCTACTTCTTTGAATGAGTTCAATTTTCATGAACATTTATCTGACACAACCCTTCCCATTCTTTACGTAATGATAGCGAGCAGACACGGGAGTTGTTGACAAGTGCTGCCTACGTGCATTTAAAGCATGCAGAGATTTCAAGATATACACGGAATCTTGCTCCTGCAAGCCGAACTATTCTACTCTCGGGACCTGCAGGTTAGGAACAAACACACTTTTTATTTCTTTTTTAAACACATTTTTAATGATTGATTAAAATTTATTAAAATGAGAAAAAAATAAGAGTACGTAATTTTTGTAGTTTTCAACGAGGAATTGATTAGCTTAATGCTTTTACTATCACCTTCTCGCTAATTAAAATTTTATTCCCTTCATGTTGTATAGAACTTTACCAGCAAGTGCTTGCCAAGGCTTTAGCTCACTACTTTGAGGCGAAGTTACTTCTGTTAGATTTAACTGACTTTTCGTTGAAGGTGAGTGTGAAAATTGTCATTGAATACTTTATCCTGTTACGTCTCCATAATGGTTAGTCTGTCATTTGTGCAGATTCAAAGTAAATATGGTTCTCCGAACAAAGAATCTGTAAGCTCTTCCTAGTTTAAATTTTTGTTGTATATTTAGCTTCCAAGGACCGTGGATGAAAATGTCGTTCTTTCTCACCCAACTTTTGAGTTTTCCGACGTTCTTTTTTCTTTGTTTCTAATTGCAGTCTTTCAAAAGGTCTACTTCAGAGTTAACTTTGAATCGGATAACTGACATGTTTGGGTCATTTTCGATCTTTCCACAGAGAGAAAGGCCCAAAGGTACGAATACTTTACTAATAAGGAGAAAATTAAATTTTGGTACTTTTTAGTTTCCACTTGATGAAGTCAATGTATAAAAAAAAAATTAGGCTCAAGAAGGGATAGGCGGCTATAATACAAATAGCTTTACTTGTGTTTTGTGTTTTGGAAAGAATAAACCATCAATTTTGTTTCATATGATTTTTAAAATTAATTAAAATAGTCTCTAATTTAAGTAAAACACAGTTTTAATCTTCAATGTATAAAATATCAATCATTTTAGTTTATATATTTTTGAGAATTCATTAAAATAATCTATAATTTAAACAAAATATTATTTTAGTTTTTCATGTCATTACTTGAATCATCAATGTGTATCATTGTCGATCATTTATCTTTATCATTACTTATAAGATAATTTGATATATTAAGTGTCATTTAGACATAATAATGACTTAAAAAATTCTAATTCTAGAGATTGTTTAGAAACTAAATTAATAAATTATGAAAAATAAATAAATTTTAAGACTATCATATTATCATTAAATGTCATGTAACATGATTAATTAATATTTAATTTATTAACTTAGTTTGTTTATTAAAACAATAAATATTTAAGTAATGACAAATACTAACATAATTGACTATTATATATGTTAAAAACTACAAGAATTGACAATTAATATTTAATGTCATGTATTAAGGACTAAAATGATATTTTATTTAAATTTTGGACTATTTTAATAAATTCTCAGAATTATCATGATTGAAATAATTGACAATTATATATATTTAAAATGACATTTTAATTAATTTAAGGCTATTTTGATGGATTTTAAAAATAATAGGGAGCAAATTGATAGTTTACTTTCTTTTTTTTCAGGGAAAATTCGCAGGCAAAGCTATGGAGAGGACCTCCAATTAATGTAAGAAGAATTTATGTTTATCAATTACTATATGAAGAACTATAATTTCCCTTCTGTTTTATTTATACGATATCTAAACTTTTTCGTTTCCTTTTGTAGGGAGGCTGAAGGATCTTGCAATCCTCCAAAGTTTCGGAGGAATGCATCTGCCTCTGCAAATATCAGTAGTCTTGCTTTGCAAAGCAATCCTGCAAATTTAGGTAACTTCAAGAAAACATTTATAAAGATCAAGCAAAACTATTGATTTTACTGGATTACTTGTTGCCATTTGTTAGGGATTTAATTTTGTGTAGAGATTTTGATTTAGAATGCTATTAATACCAGCAACATTAATTAATTTAGGAAGAATAGAAGGATACAAGGTCAACACGTTTTCATGAATACATTTCAAAATTGAACCCATATTTGTAGTACATTTACACAAAAGTCAAAGTGGTGTTTTTTAACGTGGCCTTGTGGTTTTTTTTTTTTTATTAGATTGGTTTAGTACATTTGTTAGATTAACAATCCTTTAGTCATGTTATCTTTTCTCATTCCATGTATCGTTCAATCTACCTTCAGCTTCTCATAAACATGCAACCAGTTGGCCTTTTGACGAAAAGCTTCTGATACAGACTCTTTACAAGGTAATGTTATTTTTTATTAAGAAATTCTGTTTATGCTCAGGTATTTTACAGCTTTTCCTACAGCTAGGAGAGTGATAGGAAGAGAAGAGAGAGAAAGTGTGAAATAAGATAAATAATGTCATGGAAAGAGATAGAAAAAAAAAAAATTGTAAGAAACTGAGGAAAAATATGGGTAATATAACTGTTGTATTCTAGACTTCAACTTTAATAACGTCTTTTGAGATTGAACGGGGTTTTACATCATATCCTCCGTGTAAACATTGATTTGATGCATGGAATTTCATCTGCAGGTTCTAGTTTTTGTGTCAAAAACTTATCCCATTGTGCTATATCTGCGAGATGTTGACAAATTGTTGCATAGATCACAAAGAATATATAAACTATTTCAGAATATGTTGAATAAATTATCTGGACCAATTTTAATTCTTGGTTCACGAGTTTTGGATACCGATAGTGACTACAAAGATGTTGATGAGAGACTTATTTCCTTCTTCCCCTACAAAATAGAAATCAGGCCCCCAGAAGACGAATCTCAACTTATCAGTTGGAAGTCTCAATTTGAAGCGGAGATGAAGATGATACAGATTCAGGATAATAGGAACCATATCATGGAAGTGCTTGCAGCCAATGATCTTGATTGTGATGAATTAGATTCCATTTGTGTAGCAGATACAATGGTTCTCAGTAACTATATAGAAGAGATTATCGTGTCAGCGATTTCTTATCATTTAATGAATAACAAAGATCCTGAATACAGAAATGGGAAGCTAGTTATTCCATGCAATGGGTGAGACTGGCAGCATTAATTATATTAACTATTTAAATTTGATGTACTTACTTATTGTCTGTGAAACAGTTTGTCCCATGCATTGGGTATATTTCAGGAGGGGAAATTCAATGGAAGAGATACATTAAAATTAGAAGCTCAAGCAATAACATCTGAGGTTTGCACTGCTTGACATGACTGGACATTAAATTAAGCATAATACCAACAAGATGCTCATATGATATGGTATGTTATTTTTCTCTCTTTTTGTTTCAACCTATGTAAAGTAGAGAGAAGAAGGAGCTGTTGTGAACCCAGAAGGAAAGTCAGACAATTTTGCTCCTGATAAAAAGGCTGAAGCAGATTCATCAACTTCAGTGGGAAAATCTGACGGTGAAAATTCAGTTCCTGCATCCAAAGTTGTAAGCTTTCTCCATTGTTTTTAATCAGAACGATTTTTTTAGTAGTATTAAAACCATGTTTGCAAGTGGCTTACACAAATATAGCAACCACTCCATCTAAGGCTTATCTCAAATATTAATGGTGTGCTAAATAGCCAAAATTGTTATTACAGTTAGCTACATATCTTATGAGTGCCCTTTTTCTATTATGTTGCACTGACTCTCCCTTTTTGTTGTTTCTATAAATTTTACAACTTCAAACATTTACTATCAAATATTTACTTGCAGGAAGTTCCCCCTGATAATGAGTTTGAGAAGCGTATAAGGCCTGAGGTAATACCAGCAAACGAGCTAAGTGTAACGTTCTCCGATATTGGTGCCTTAGATGAGACCAAAGAATCACTTCAAGAACTTGTAATGCTTCCTCTTCGAAGGCCAGACCTTTTTATTGGAGGCCTTCTAAAGCCTTGTAGAGGAATATTGCTATTTGGGCCTCCTGGCACTGGGAAGACAATGCTGGCAAAGGCCATTGCAAAAGAGGCTGGAGCAAGTTTCATCAATGTATCCATGTCTACCATTACTTCTAAATGGTTTGGTGAAGATGAAAAGAATATTCGTGCTTTATTCACACTGGCAGCTAAGGTATCCCCAACTATTATATTTGTTGATGAGGTTGATAGTATGTTGGGACAACGAACTAGAGTTGGGGAGCATGAAGCCATGAGAAAAATGAAGAATGAATTTATGACCCATTGGGATGGCCTAGTGACAAATCCAGAGGAGAGAATACTTGTTCTTGCTGCAACCAATAGGCCATTTGACCTGGATGAGGCTATTATTAGGAGATTTGAAAGGAGGTATCTCTACTAGTACTTGACTCACTCCTTGCTCTTGCCATAATATTTCTACTTTCTCCACCTTTTGTTTGTGTTTACTCTTCCTAGTCTTTGTAAATTTAAAACAAGGGAATGGAAAAGGATATAAGATAGCAACAATACATGACACTGATGGCATAATATGTTTTAGACATGTGTGAAAATCTGAATACCTTGAAATTTAATAATATTTGATCATTTACTAACTCTATATATGCTCATCTTTAATTAACAGATTTATGGTAGGGTTGCCATCTGCGCAAAATAGGGAAAAGATTTTGATGACTCTTTTGGCGAAAGAGAAGGTGGATGAGAAACTTGATTTTAAGGAACTCGCAATAATGACAGACGGATATAGTGGAAGTGATCTCAAGGTTTATATAAATTTCTAACTATTTTACCATGGATGCAACTATCGCATTACAATAAATGATTTAATTACTTTGAGCTTCTAGTGCCCAATGCATTTTTTTTACTATTAAAATTTGTAAAATGCAGAACTTGTGCACAACTGCTGCTTACAGGCCGGTTAGAGAGTTAATTAAGCAAGAGAGAGTAAAGAATCTGGTAACTAAGCAATATTTTTAAAGGTCTACTATAATTGTTCGATTACATGATTATCATGTCGATTACTTCATTTGTTTTTGACAGGAGAAAAAGCGAAAAAACATTGAAGGACAGAGTAACAATGTTGAAGACATGCAAGGAAAACAATCTACAATAGGAAATACCCAAGCTGCTGTGGATGCAGAAGAAGTTCAACAAGAAAGAGTTATTACCCTTAGACCTTTGAACATGCGGGACTTCAAAGAAGCAAAGAAACTGGTAAGACTGCTCCATCATAACCAGCGAAGGATGATTTGATTGTAGAAATTTAGTAAGAGTCCTCTTTTTTAATCCACTATCAGCATCATATATATACCTTTGAATTTCATCATTATGCCTGGTTTCATTACTTACATGAATCAATTGAGTGACATGATAAGATTGCTTCGTGTGTATTTAGGAGGCCTAATTATCTAGGATTTTTTTTATAGTTTATATCTTGAGTAATGAGTGTATATTGCTTCATTTTACAATCTACTTGGAATGCAGGTTGCCACAAGCTACGCAGCTGAAGGGTATGGAATGAGTGAGCTGAAGCAATGGAATGATTTGTACGGCGAAGGCGGTTCAAGAAAGCAAGAACAATTACCTCACTTCTTGTGAAAAGTACTAAGGGAAAAAGATAATTCATAGATGCATCCTTCTTGGTATGCTTGTAAGTCTCTCGTTCTAAGAAATGAAGAGTGAGAAAAACAAATCTTTTGCTAGGAGACGGCCAAAACTCTACTCTAAGTAGTAAACAGTAACGAGTAATTTTCTCGGCTAGGCTGCATTGAACTTTTTCCTTGTTATGGATTCTGAATTTAATTTATATTTTACACTCATCTAATCATGAATGTCTATATCTGCAAACATTATTAATTTTTATGGCAGTTAATAAAAAGTCATGTTGACAATTTAGTACATTAGAATTAAACTCTTATGTTTCTGGGATCCCGTTCCCTTCATGTTAATATCATAACATGCCAAGTTAGATAAAGAAAAGGGTAATGGTAAAGTGAAAATATGGTGTAGATGGTCCATAGATCAAACGGTAGTTAGTTGGTAGCGAATCAAACCGAAATTCACATGAAACCATCTTGGCGACCCCATCCCATGATTACCATTAAGCGTTTTCAAGATTAGATGGCTTTGGTTCCCTCATCAGTTCCCCAAAACCAAAAGCATCCAATCAATACTTTTCTTCTTGTGGGGCATCATATGTATGTTGGACTAGTTTGGACACTTCCTTGTTTTGCTCAAAACTAAACCAACGGTTTAGATTGCCCTGGTTTGCGTTGAAATAGGAATCAAATGTCAAAAGCATGATTTAATTATGATGTTGCTATGGCAGCTACTTTTTTTTCGTGGAATTTTTTTATCTATATTTTTAATAAGTTGTGAAATATGGAAAAGCATTTGGTTTTACAAACTTTTTGACTAAAATGAGGCCCTTTTGAAAATAATCTCTCCAGTTGAGGTAATTTTTAAATCTCTTTTACTTTGAGCTTCTCTTTAACGTTCTACCAAGGTAATTTTTATCATATCACTTTATACACGTCTCCACTTACATAATCAATATAAAATGTTACGTGGAATTCTGCCTTTACTCTATAGCAAAACTGTACTTGATGGAACATTAAAAAAAAAAAAAACTATACTATAATAAACTCATCCATTGTCAAAAGGAAGAAGAAGAAAACAGTAGATGTCGACGAGTCTTCCTCACATAAAAGTGTTTAGTGAAAGGTACAATTATACAAGGTGTATTGGCAGAAGTCTTTATTTTATTTTATTTTTTCTGTATGCTGGAAAGTATTGGTTACGGTAAAAGATTTGTGTTACAGGTGAAACCAAAGGCAATTATACACAGAGAGTGAGAGTAACTCCACATAACATTTGACATGGTTACATGTGAAATTAAGCCTCAAGTAAAATGATAAAAATAAAGGGGGAAAAAAGGTTAAAGATTCCTTTCCAATATAAACTTTTTTTGTGGATCAATATAAACCTGAAAACTATCTTAATTTGATCAAATTTAAAAAGATGTTCCTGAATCCTGCTTGGTTAAAAATGGGGATTGGGCCTGGGCCCCCGCACCCATGAGTTAGTGCATCACGTGAGTTATCCATTTATATTTTTATAATATAGGAGGCCCACCTTTTGTCCAATTCTCAAATTCACTTTCTTGGGTCAACAGCTACGTAGCATCTTTCGTATATCATAACCATAAATAAAATTTACAGGCCATTAGGAATGGAGATCTCAATTTGAGTTGTTCTCACGTTCTTTTGAAATCATTTTTTATCAACCATCTTATATTTTAAAAATATATTACTTATATTAATATTTATGAAAATTAATAAATAGATTAGTTAAGAAATTTTTTTAAAATATAATAATATATTTAAACTATAAATTTCTTTCATCGAAGAAAATTTTGCGTTATCTTAAGACTGGCTTAAATATTTAATCTGATGTTTCTATTAAAAATATCTAATACTATCTCTTTTTCTTACATAAGTTATGAATGACTGTAATTATTTTTCAAGTCAAACACTCAAACCAACAGTTTTGGGATTGCAGAAATGAATTTGTGTCATTTTGATTAAAAAATTAAATAAAAAATAAAAGGGAAAAAACACAGAAAGGTAAGTTTTGGGAAACAGGCGGCAATCGTATAGTAGTACAATCTGGGTCGAAGCCGGACCCCCCCATGTTGCATGCAGCATGTACAAAGGTGTGCATTTGTTTAGTACACTGTTCAATATTTTTAAAAAATATTAAGATTTATTATCAATATATTTTTAGTATAGCCTATTCACGTGTTTTAACATAGTTTTTAATAATAAAAAATATTATTTATCTAAAAATTGATAATAATTATATAAATTATGAAAAAATTAAATGATTAAAATACACATTTATTTTTTATAATTAATAATTATTTATAATTTAATTTTTATGCTTAAACTTTTACTTTTACTTTTGTATAAATATTTTATTGACAATTTAGTTCCTATTCTTATAATAATGTTAACTAAAGATATTATTTATTAAATTACACTTTTAACAATATTAAAATATATAAATAAAAATAAAAATATTAAAATTTATATTTTATAAATAATCTCTTGTTCTTGTTACTCTTTCATATTAAAAAAGCAATAAAAAATCGTCTTATTCAAAATTTTAATTATAAATTTTTTTTTCTTTCGCTTCATACTTTAAAAACTTAAAGGGAGAGAGGTGCTTTTATATTTTTTCAGCCGAAATAGCTGAAAGAAATAAATGTTTCCGTTTTTTAGAGTACCCTAAAAAACAAATATCTATAAATAAATATTAAATATAAAAGATTAAATGTCTATTTTATCTTACTTAAACAATAAATAAAGAGTGAGTTTGGGGGTAGGAAAGAGGAATAGAGACTTAAATAATGAATTATACTATTAGTGGATTGCTTGGAATACACCCACCCATTCGAAATTTACTCTCTCCCTTTCCTTCCGTATTTATCTGACTCTCCCCACATGACTTCCCTGCAACCTGACAAAATTCAACATTCAATATGAAATAATTTAATAAATAAAACCAAAGAAAACCTCTCTCTCTCTGTCTCTCTCTCTCACTTCCTCTGTCATCTTTGCAAACTCCATTAACAAAAAATTAACACCCTTTTTTCTCTTCCCCTTTTCCTCACATCACACCTCCAACTCTTTGGCTACTATACTGGCTCTCCCAAACATGGAAGCTTTCACTTTGCTCAAATACTGGAGAGGGGGTGGTGCTACTCCACTCCCACCCTCCGACACTCCCACTTCCCGCACCACCACCATCCTCACCGCCGTTCCCCAAAATGCAACACAATCCGACGACGACGAAGACGAAAACAACGACGACGATGGCCCCTTCTTCGACTTAGAGTTTGCAGTACCCGACGATTCCGAAGATGCACCCCAAAATCCCAACCAAGATGAAGAAGAAGAAGATATTAATACGGAAGAAGAATCTGACGGCGAGAAAGAGTTTAAGTTTACACTCTCTCCTTCGAGCAACGATCGCAGCGATCCCAACCTTTCGCTCTCTCCTTCGGACGATGTGTTCTTCAAGGGAAAGCTGGTGCAGCTCGACCACCCTTCTTCCGAACCTAACTCCAAGCCTCAGTTCACTGCCTCCCTCTTGAAATCCGCCACCAAATTTCGCGTCTTCATGTTGGGCCTCAAGAAGCCCAAATCCTCTGACAACGCCTCCGATTCCAAAAAACACCAAACAGACAAAAAATTCTTCACCGTCAAATTCAAAGTGGAAGAAGTCCCCATCATGTCTCTCTTCACCAGAGATAACAGCTCCAGAGCCAACAAACCCCACAACCAGAAGCCCAACTCAGAGCCCGAGGACTCACCCTCTTCTTCCGAGGAAAAACGTTTCTCCAAGGATACCATGCAAAAGTATTTCAAAATGGTGAAGCCTCTCTACATTAGAGTGTCCCGCAGGTACGGTGACAAGCTTGGACACCTAAGCCCAAACTCCGGGCCTAAAGGGGAAGGTGAAGCTTCTACTGCTACTGCAACTGAAACCAACGCCAAGACTCAAAAACAGGGGAATCTACCAGCAGGCCTTAAAGTAGTGTGCAAGCATTTGGGGAAGAGTCGTTCAGCTTCTTCAGCGGTTGCAGCTTCTCCTCCGGCGTCCGTGTCTTCAAAACGCCGTGATGATTCACTGTTGCAGCAACAGGATGGGATTCAAGGCGCCATTTTACACTGCAAGAGATCCTTCAATGCCTCCAGAGGTAATTATAGTAAAATAAATTTTTTATTTTTTATTTTGTTTGTCATTTAATGGTTGTACTTAATTAGTTTTGGTGGTGGTTGTTGAAGAGTTTTAGTTTGTTCATCTCATGTTCTTGTTGAAACAGAGTGCGAGTCTTCTCAGCTGCCACGTTCTGTGAGCGATCCATCTCACGAGATATCCTCGGAATTATCGAGGAAATCGATCAATGAAGCCAAAGACAAGCGCCTTTAGGCGTTTTCCTTTACTATCTGTAAACTCTTCGCAGCTTGAACAATGAAGATAATATTAGTTCCTTTCCAATGTCACCGCCTGCAGTGTCTGTTGTAAAAAGGAAAATGCTATTACTTTGTTACTTAGATTAGATTTTACACTACAAGGAAGGCTAAAAAAGAAAAAAGAAAAAGAGAAATAGTAAAAGGTAGAGTGGTGGTCTGCATGATTTGTTGAGTTGAAAGTGAAAAGCTCGTTAGCCATTAGCTTAGTGACTCTTTTTTTCTTCCTTGGTAGTGTAAACTGTAAAGCTCTTCTTTCCGTTAAAGTGAAAGAAGAATCAGAGCTTTTCTGTGTATCCGTGTTTCTTTTGGACATATCTGTATGTATTATGTAGCTAGTAGAGAGAAGCCAGTTCTCCTCCCCTGGTGATCAAATAGCTCCCCCAATCTTTATGTGGAAATTGCTTTGGTTTGGTAGCATTGACTTCATTCATTTTCATGTTCTTTATTTTATTTTTATTCTAAACAATCGACATTTTAAAACCCGGTTCATTAATTGTACAATGTTTTTGATGACATGATCGGTTTTAAAAAACCCGGGTTATCGGTCAAGGTGCCGATGCAAATGAGAACAATGAAAAGAAATGGTTCAATTAATAATTATTGCTGTTGATTTCATAAAGTATGAAACTTTTAATAATATGGAGTATCATAGTTACTCGAGAGGAGGGAAAATGCGGTCAGAGAAGGGGGAAAGATAGGGACATGAGCAGTGAAAGTAAGATTTTCTTTTGGGGGAAGAGAGGAAAAGGGTATTTGACTGAAGAAAGGAGGGTTGAAAAGGAATTTCCCATGGAAGTGAATGCAAGAGGCGAGCCATTGTCTCAGTTGTGTGCATGCCGGTTTGGGTCTTTGGCTCTGCCATCACGTGTCTGATGGCTAGCAGGTATCGGAATTGGCGAAATTGTGTCTGTTTTATTAATTTTGGTGCACCGATTCGTGTGTCGGAACACAGCCTCGGATATTCAATTTGTCTCTTTGTGCCATAGTTGGACCCTAAGATACCCCTACTAAGCCCTCTCGGCCCAATGGCCCTACAAAAGTTTCATTTGAGTTGATCATCATGTTGGTTTCTATGGCCCACTAGAGAACCCAGTTCGTGAAATCTTTCCCACCGCTTGCATATGTCACGATATTCAACTTTGTCGTCATTTTTGTTTTAGAAGGGGACAACTTAATAATATAACAAATCCACCATTGGTTACTTAGTAGGATTTCCAAACGGAGCGAATGGCCAAGTCCAACGTGAGGACAAATGTAAGTATAATTTAGCATTGACAGTTAAATTGCTTATGTCTCCCGTTTCTAGGGCCGATAACTTCTCCTGATTTAACATATCCTTGTATTTTCCTTCATGTTTGTTTGCTTAAGGTTGCAATTTACTATAATATGAGCAAGAACGTTTTCGACTTTACATGCACACTGTACCAAGAATGCGACTGATCGTAGTCGTCCAATAATTCTTGATGAAAATATGGATAATGAAAGAATAAAATTGAGCTATTTTCGTAATGATTTTTTCCTCAGAAAAAAAAGCTTTTCTTTATTACAATAACCAAGTAAATTTTCTCATTAGGTGAAATCTGTTATTTGAATCTAAGAAAGCCATAATGTTAGATCGTGAATAATGTACATGAATAAATTATTGACATTTTTTTTACTACTTCTGATCTTCTTTTAACCCTAACGCTAGAAAAGGATGGTAATTTTCTTTCTTTAGAGTCAAAATAAAATATTTAGAAGTTGTATTAAAAGTATTAAACATATTTTAAATAAGATTAAAAAATGTATTTAAATACAACTTTTTGTTCTTACTAATTAAATCTATCACTGTGTAGAAATTGGATTTTTTAACAAATTTTCTCAATATATATAACTCAAATATTATCAAACAAGTCGTCGTCTATTTTGTACGAAGCTTATTCTTAACCACTTTGATTGGGGACCGTTGCAATCGCTGCCAAGCTACGACCGTGCGCACAAATGAACAAAATCTAAGGATGGGAACAAAAGAAAAGAAATTATTGTTATTCAAATGTCAAAAGTGTATAAAGTTTTTTGTTGTAAATGTTGGACGAAGTTATACACCAAGTTCACTTAAACTAACTAGCTGGATTCGCTCAATGGAATATAACTGGAAATTCTCTATTTAAGAAATTTAAATTCATTTAAACAAATTAAAATTGGAAAGTCATGTTTTCACATAAATGAAGACAAAGCATCACAATGAATTAATTTGTAAATATGAGTGTCAACACAAGATATTAATATTATAATATGAGATAATACTTATACAAATGGTTAAAGTTTATACATATATTATCTTTAATTTGTTATAATAAAAATTTGGTTTATCTTTAGTCTCTTGTATATAAGAAAGAATTATTTTTTTCTCTTTATTTAAATATGTTATTACTACAATTAACTAAGATAGATCATGAAGAATATATTTGATTATGCTTCAAGCCTTCAACTTCTATATTTTGTAATTGTAAAAAGTTTCAAAAATTTTGTTATGATGCATTAAAAGTGTTTAAAATAAATAATGTCAAGGTTTATTCTTGAAAAATACATCCTTAAAAAATAAATAAGAGAAGATTATTTTGACATTATACAATATGCATAATATAAGGGGAGTGAAGGTTAAGAAGAATTATAAACTTTCTAGCATAAGACGATGTTGACAATTAGCTTTTAAAAATACTAGACTCGCATATGAGGTATTTATTTTTGATAAATATTATAATCTAATAGATAAAAGTCTAAATGTTGTATGTTACCAAATCACATACCTTCGCTTGCAAGCACAAAGTATCGACAAATACTACATTAATACTCTTACATTGAAAATCAATGATGATATACAATCTACAAATTTGAAGTAATGACTAAATATAAAAAGAAACAAATGTACATAATTCAAAAGTTGGGTTGAGTTATTAAAAAAAAGGAAAAAGAAAACTTCAATTAAAAGTCAATCACAAAGTCAAGCATTTTAGGTACATATATTTATACATATTTTTTACTTTTTTGTGAATAATTTAAGATTATAACCCACTCATCTTAAACTAGATGTGATTTGTTAAAGTAAAATCTTTTAGACAAAGTATGAGTGGGTTCATGATCTTAAATTATTCACAAAAAAAAAATCTTCTCTTATTTGTTAAAGTAAAATCTTTTAGACACCTCTATCCGATTAATTCTCTTAAACTAGATGTGATTTGTTAAAGTAAAATCTTTTGTCCTAAAACCTTTGTTCTATGTTAATAATTCAGTTAAATTATTTCAAATTTACTTAAATGAATTATGGTTCGCTTAAACAAATTACTCATTTAGACAAAGTATGCTCTTTGTTTTATTTTTACTTAAAATAATTGGTATTTGTTTAAGTTATTCATTACTCATGTAAACAATAAATTCACTCTCTTACATAATTATGGTTAAATTTGCTTAAGCAAAAAAAAATAAAATTAATTACTGTGTAAACTAAAAAAAAAATCTAAATTTCTTTATATATTGACTAACAAAGATGAAATATAATATAAAAATTAATCAAATATAATTAATTGTGAAAAGATAAAGCAACAAACTATCCTATTCTAATTATAGATAAAAATAGATATAATGAAATCTAACTAAATCTCAGATGATAGAAGCAAGCTAACTACTTGTCCAATTTAGGATAAAATCCCTATTCATTGGCTAACAGGATATAATCCAATCTATATCAACAGTAGTTGAAGTCACAAAGGCACTAAGGAACGAAGACAAACAACATAAAAATCAAAATTTCAATTTTTTTTTATAAAATAAATATTTAATATTATCAATAAGTATGTTTTTTAATTCAATCTTTAATTTAAAAAATTAATTTTTAATTTAATCTTATTAATATAATAAAATATTTAATATTAACAATAAAAAACATTCTTTTTTAATTTATTAAATTTAAAAATAATCATATACTTTTAATATTTTATTTAAAATTTATTTTGATTTAATAAATCCAAAAAATCGAAAGATTACAATTTTTTTATACAATAAACACTATCCAAAATTTTTCTCTAATGAATATCTTCGATTTTTTTTATTATTCTGCGACGGTCGAAATATCACATATTGATATCTAATGAGGGAATAAATGAATAATGCTTTCTATTAGGCCCATTGGGCTTTGTCAACTATTCGTTCCATTACGTACTCGGCATTATGTTGTCAATTGAAAAAAAAGGCATTATGCTGTCCCTCCCAAATGTTTGTTTTAAATTACTTCGTTCAGATTATAAAAAAGTTTAATTTTTATAAATTATCGGTGTAAAAATATTTATTTTATAAACTGATTAAAAAATATTATAGATACAATTTTAAAGTAATTATTATAGAAATTATTTTTTATTTATATTACAATCTATATTAGATGATAGTATAAAAACAAATTATAATATCAATGTCTGTTAATTAAATTTTTCTTAAAAAAAATATTTTTCAATCTGCTAGAAAAATAAAATTTGGAGTAATTTACTGAACAAAATACTAATAAAAATTCCCTTTTATACGTGCTTTGGTGAAAAATAACTTCTTTTGAACTTGCATAGAGACTAGGAATCACTCATCCTTTTTCCTCTACTTGTACTTGTTTTAAGCAAAAACAAGTACAAGTATGCCAACCTTAACTTGTTCCCTGGTCATTTATTGGACAGAACCCACAAACTTTCTTGTGGACTAAGAAATAATGAATGCTTTTTAGTATTTGGACGTGTTTGGCTTATATTTTAGTGAAATTATTTGTAAAATAATTGATGCCGAAAAATGGAACAAACAAGAACTTAATGAATTGTGAGAGAAAGTGAATATTGAATTCTGAATTCTTAATATTACACACTATAACAGCAAAATAGCAAACAAACTTAACTTGCTTAATAACCCTTTACAAGGTACCTTAATTAATTAGCATAGCAGATGTTGAACCGAATACGAGGTGAAGTTGAGCTTCATAATGCATCCCATTTCTATGGTCTTCCTCTTCTTTACAATCTTCAACACTCGCACTTCACCACTTAATTTTACGTAGCATCTTAGTTTGAGCATTCCTGAATGGATATCATTAGTATGATTGAACTTCATGTTTACCAAGCAATTGATTTCTTGGGTTTCTATAGCCTTCACTCTCGCGCCATGCAATTGGCAAGCACCAACACTCGAAATCCCATACAACATACTCACAGAAGTGTTTCCGTAATAGAAGGGACCAAAGTTTGGGTTGGTGATGGTGACTTGAGCAATGATGGTGACATTAAAGGAAGGTAATGGTGAAACGCTATGATTAAATTTGTGCATCAACCTTACTGATCTCAATTCAATATTGGGATCTCTCACGCGCAACACGATGGATGCAAAAATTACCCAAATGGCGAAGAGGGTAACAAAGGAAGCCAAAGCGTACACAAAACATTTGCTGCTTTGTTTTGTTTCATGGCGTGTTAAGTACATGGCGAAAACTTCCTCTGATGTTGTGTATGTATATATACCTGCTTGTAATGGGGACTTGGACGCGTTTTGAGACATTTCCTTTCTCTTGTCAGAAACTCAAACTTGAAAGTTCAGAGTGTTCTGCCCTTGGCTGTGGGAAACAGGGGTGATTGAAGAAAGCAGAGATAAAGTAGCTTTGTTATATATATATATAGTTAAATTGAATGAGATAAAAATAATAGCAACACTCTTTTTAATATATCGTTAGTTATTAATTAATATTTATTAAGAATTAAAAAAACTTGAACTTTACTATTAATTTAATCTTATCTTAATTATTCTTATATTTTTACAATTTTTAATAAATTTTAGTAATAATTAAAAGTGTATTTTAAAAAAAATATTAGTTAATATTTGAATATGTTTTTCCTTAGTTGTAACTTTAAAATAATAATTTTGGTAGAAGTTGTTGGGAATAAAAATGATTTACAAATTTCCAAATAACAAGTTACAGACAAATACGAAGTAGCTAGATTTTATGGCTTTGAAATACTGGTAGGGATGGCAATGGGTAAATTACCCGATGGGCACCCGCAAAATTTACCCACAATGAGTAGGGTATTTACCCGCTATACGGGTACGAGTATGGGTGTGGGTAAAAACCCGCAAATTTTAATGGGGATGGGTGCGAGTATGAGTATCTAAGTACCCACCCCGCCTCATACCTGCATATATATATATATATATATATATATATATATATATATATACTTGAACTTTATTCTACAATTATGAATTAATTTTTTGTATTATTATATTACTTATGTGAAGTTATATAAGATTACTATAAAAATATATTTAATAATAAAGTAAACCAAAAAATTTATTTTGGTTTATATTTTTAATAGAAAAATTTATTTACTATTTTATATCATTTAATTCGGCTAACACAATTTAATTATTACATAGTTAATATGAGATTGACTTTTTTTAAAATATTATTTATATATGACACACATAAAATATTTTTTACACAAATATTTTTGTTAATAAAATCATATTGATGTTTCAATCATAAAGTGAATGATAAATAATAAATATATTATAAATTTTACAATCACCTACTATTACCGTAAACTTATTATTTATTAATAATATTTAAATTTTATTTTTATATTTTAATTTAAAATAATATTTTTCTATGCAACATATGTATTACAAGCACAACTATAATTTATTGAATCTAAATAATATTATTCTTACTATTTATTCACATTCAAAGAAGTTTTTGAAAAGATATAAATATAAAAAATTATTGTTAATTTTTATTTGTTAATTTTTTTAAGATAAAAAATATAATTTTTTAATATACACATATATTTCTTTATTATAAAATTTTATTGTAACTATTTATCTTTTATTCAAATTCTTTTTTTTTAAAATTTATATACATTAGAAATATTTAATTCACTAAAATAATTTTTCAAAAATTTATATTTTTGATAAAATACTTTCGTATAGTATATGAGTTAAAAAATACTAGTATTAATATATATATATATATATATATATATATTATTTTAATTAAATCTATTATTTTTCTTACAATTTCAAATTCAAAAGTTAAAAAAAATATTTTATGTATCAACTTTCTGTTGTTAGTATTGAACTTCTCTACTTTAACTCTATTCTCATTCTCAATGTCTGTCTCACTAAAACTTAATAACTATGAAATGTTATTCATTAGAGTTAGTTGTTAATGCCGTCACAAGAGGTTACTAAGTGATCCCACACGAAAGGACAACCATTGTACAGATCTATTTCGTTGTCGTTCTGACATTACCAATCAATCAAATCTCACACAAGATAGGATTATCACTGACAAATAACTTGTGTGTTTAGTTTTGCTTATTGTTTTTAAGAATTTTAGTTTAGAAAATTATTATATTAAAATACATTTAACATTTATGATCTTTGAATATTTGTTTTTTTATCTATATTTGTACCTTATTCGACAACTACATATTGAATTTTTTTATTATTATGCTACTTATGTGAAATTATATAAACATATTTTTCTTTATAAATATTTTTTTCTCAAACAAGCGCGGGTAATGGGTACAAGACTGGTATGCGGGTACCCAGAGGGTACGGGTACGGGGATTAATATTCATACCCACGCAGGTATGGGGCCGAGTACGGGTATTTTTTTAAAACGCGGGTATGGGGATGAGTACTGTAGTACCCTACCCATACCCTACCCATTGCCATCCCTAAATACTGGTGTGATTTATGGTTAAATAATTTGCCACAAGATTTGATTGAATAAACTAAATTTTCAAATTTATGAAAATTTTATATAAGAGTAAATGCATAATTAAGAGTAAAATTTTGAAAAAGTGTTTTTCTTTTCGATTTTGATATCAGACAGGGTAAAGACTGATACAATTGGCATATAATTGAGTCTTATAAGTATGTTAATTAGGATTCTAAAAGATTAATTTCTAATTTGTATTTTTTTAAATTGTTAATTAAGAGAGATAAAGTGATATTTTTGGTTTTAAAAAATTATAGAGAATTAAGGAATAATGATTATTAATATAAAGTAGAGATAAAATAACGTAATTTTAATATAAAGACAATTTTGTAAAACTATCTTATTTTTTTACTACTACGAAGGTTATTTTCTCTATCTATCTACGCATAAATCTAAAATGACTGCCATAAGGATGGGATAGAATAAATAAATATCATGGTAAAGATGATTTAGCCATTACGCTTTCTTATTTACATATTTACTGAAGTGAGATAACAGAAGAAAATTGAGATGCATTGAATAACTCACATTTTTGGTTTACGGAACACATTTTTTTTTCTTTTTGGAAAATTTAGGGACGAACACGCTTGAATTTCTTATCACCGAAGAAATCAAGCTTTCACAATATATAACTAACTCCTTTATCTTTTCCATTTTCCTCTTTCTAGTGGGTAGATTGGCTATCAAGTTCTAAAAAAAGAACACGATAATCCACCAAGCCGAAGAGTACGCATTGTTGCAAGCCTTTATGTAATAGGTGACACATAAAGCACAATATCCATCTTTGCTCCTTCTAGCTTCTTGTCATTTACACGGAGGAGAGTGGACATCTACTCTATTCATATGACCCACCCACTTTCTTTTTTTTTCAGTTTTTTCTATTACTAAATCAGCATTCCATTAGTTTTACCGATTTATTTATTGTTTTAAAAGTATATGTTTTTCGGTCGACACAAAACGTAATTTGATTGACCTAGTAAGTTAATTCTTTAATTTACCAAATAAAGGAATAAAAAATAAAAATAAAAATAGGTGAAAAATTTACAATTAAATAAAAACTTTTTAAAAATAAACGGTCGATCTCATAATTAGCCGGTCCTATTCCCATGAAAGAAAAACCTTGTATCATGGTAAAGCTGGACTGCATTTGACGTTATATATAAATTTGTATCTCAATATTTGGAGGATCAAAATATGTCTGAAAAATTTATGCATGCACGTAGAGTGAAAAAAAAGGTAGAAAAAACACGAAGAAAATAACAAGCATCAGTATTATAAACGAAAAAGTAGTTATTAGCATTGGATAGCCTGAATTGCGAGGGAGGTCAAGTTGAGATTCATAGTGCAAGCCATTTCTATGGTCTTTTTCTTGTTGATAATTCTCAGCAGATGAACAATACCACTAAATTTGACATAACTCGTGAGATTCAACGTTCCTGAATTAATGTCACTAGAAAGATTCCCTGTAACGGGTACCGTAGCGGACCTCACAATCACAATAACATTCAATTCATTCGTTTCTCTTTCATTCACTCTGCCACTGCGGATACCCTTGTCACCATACTTTGCACCCGCATACAGCACACTCATCATGCTATTCTCGTAACTGAAGGGACCGTAATTTTGGTTCCTGATAATGAGGAAGGTGATCAAGGTCGCGTTGAAGGATGGTGAAGACGGTGAAGCGCTATAATTGATTTGACTCAATGTAGCTGATATTAGTTCGACATATGGACCCCTCACGCGCAAAAAGGATGCAATACCCAATACAACTGCACATAAGATGACGAAGGTAGCCAAAACGAAAACGAAACATTTGCTGCTTCGTTCTTCGTGTGTGGGCTTGGACATGCTTTGTTTGATGTCTTAATCAATAATGTTTTGTTTTAATATTGTGGGCTATTTCCATGAACTGAGAGACAAGACACTTGTGGGAAATTGGTGTTTTCAGTTATGGATGTTGAAGAATTTATTTTGGAGGTGAATGAAGGGTCTGTTATAAGTTGTAGAGTTTATATAAGGTGGCAGAATCATAATGGTAACAACTAACAAGGTTAGATTTTTCTAATTTCTTTTATTTCTCTCTCTTTTCTTCATTGGGTGTATAATATTAGCTATACTTGGATGGCGTTTTCAGCTTCCAAATTTTTTTACGTAATTTGTCCTACTTAAATATGATTAGAGGCAAGTTGATTATCTTATTGGATCGTTCACCATTGATGTTTTTATTGAAAACTATAGTCGCAGCGCAATTGACTCAGGATCTAAATAGCACCGGTTCATGATGCACGTTCCCCATGTATTACGAAGAAGTGAAACAAGGAATTGAATTTATGATCGATCAATTATAAAGTGAGATTAAAACTGCTCAAGTAAACTTCAATATAGAATAGGAAATAGAAATAATGTTAACCCACTTTTTAATGAAAAATCTTCTTAAGTTGCAAATAACTGATTGCTAAATGTTTCGTTTTTCTTAATTTTCAAATGATAATTAACTTATTGATCACCAATGTTATTTTCGTATTTGCATCTATTATTACGCACTACACATTCATATTACCATTTTTCCCCCCATTTTTGTCTTTCCGGCAAAGATATTAGCAAAGTTTGATTTCAGATGCAGAAAGCGCCATGTGGAAACTGGAAAGCCTTTTATGTAATGGCGACGTAAGGATCCAAATGTGATCCTTCACTTCGCCGGCTTGAAACGGTTTGGATAATACAAGACGTCAAATTCCCTCAAGAATTGGAATAGGATCGCTGTCATCCTAAAAGGAAATAATTTAAAATTATCTTATAATTTCTTCTATTAATTATCTAATTAATTGAATAGAGAAATAATTGAAAGTCTTTTACATTTAAAAATATTAAAATTTTATTTTTATTTCACTTTATGAAATTTTAAAATGATAAAAAGGTGGAGCTTGTAGGATGATACAATATTATTCTTCTAAAAATATATAAAGATAAATATCATTTTCACAAACTTTACCAAGAATAAATGAATATCACTATCACTCTCACTACTCATCCATAATGTTCTTGTTTCTTTATGAGAAAAAATTAATTTATTTCAAGAAATGGTCAAAATTATGCATACAGGTTCTTCCCTCTGCATTAGCTGATCAATCACTTTACAAAATGGTCAAAATTGTATGTGTATTGGATAAGACATTTGATCGTCACCGTTAAAAAAGGAAATTGAATATCCGTTTGGCCGGACACCAAGACAAAAAGTATCCACACCCTTTTAGCCTAACCTCAGGACGACTATCCCTCTAATCATGTCAAAATAAGATAATTAAAAATTAATAACAAAAAAGGTTAATTACCTAAGTAATCAGAAGGCTAAGACATGGCTGAGTCATGAAGTTCATTAGCTCAATATTTTGTCTATAAAAAGAAAGTAAGAAATACAGGTAAGAAGTTGACTTCTAACATTAAATAACAATTATTATCCTATACTGAATACTAACTTCACTATTGATAAGTTCATATTTTGATATATTTTATGACTTATATTTATACACTTAAACCTTATTTTATATATATTTATACTAATTATGTTATTAATTGTTGTAGTTTAGCTGTAAGTTGTTAGAAAATAAAAAATATATAAAATTATTTGAGATCTCTAACTTTTTGCTCTACATTAAACTTTAACTCACATATGTGAGTTTTGAGCCTTAAAAGAGATTTTTATCCTAATTTTCTTAGAGGGACTGAGCGTTCTCTATTTTTGTCCTTATACACTGAAAGAAAGAGAGAAAGAGAATATAGTAGAGTATTACAGTTTGATAATTGAGCAATAAGATAGAGAATATAAAATTTTAAATGCCTTTTGATTACTTGAACTCAATGATATTACTGTTGTTTTATTTGTATATTTGTTATTTTGGGTTTCTTGTTTTGATGATATGTTTCAAATTGTTCCTTTATTCTTTAGCCAAGACTTTTGCTTGAAGGCAAGCAAATCTCAAGTATGAAGGAGTTGATAAGTTCATATTTTGATATATTTTATGATTTATATTTATACACTTAAACTTTATTTTATATATATTTACACTAATTATGTTATTAATTGTTACAGTTTAGTTAGAAGTTGTTATTAGTGTATTATAGAGATATTCTAGAGAAAAATTAGATACTTTTAGTTTTTGTTATGCTATGTGAATCTGAGTTTGAATTTAAAATTTAAACTTAGATAAAAATTTGAAACAATTTTTAGTTAAGATTCTGATTATGGATAAAACTGATTTAAAAAGATAGAGTTCAATCAATTGAAAACTCAAGGCACAGTCTATATAAAGAGGCTTTATGCTCCACACTTGACACTTTCACTTCTCTACACACCTTCTTCCCTTTTTTAGTTCTACCCAAACTCATCTTTAAGAGTCATTGGAAACCATTAGCAAGGACGTCGAGCTTACCCTTTGGAGAACGAGAACTCTCTTCTTCTTCTACCTTCCTAAGTTTCTTTTGTTTTAGTTTCCTTTGTGGTTATGAGTTTATTTATCACGTTTTTCGTAATTTATTTTGTTATGAGTAACTAAACCCATAGCTAGGGCTACGCGGATCCTACTACAAACTTTATGTGATTTTTACTTTAATGTTTAATTTTATTCTATTGGATTGTATTGTGTATGTTAAGATTTGATCACCCTTAACATTCCATAATTAGTTATATTGTAGGCAATCGTACCACATATAATTAACAGAATTATAGGATAAAACGAGATAAGGGGCTAGGTTAATCACACTTAATTCATTTTTTTCAGCCGTTATTAAATTAACAAACTCATAGGATCTTCATACTTTCTCAACCAAATACCTTACATTATCATTGAGGGTGTTTGCTCAGGAAAGAGAATATTAACATTGCATAATCATTGAGTGTTAATAAAACTAATTATGAGTGGTTGACAAATATTTGAATACTAATATCAAAATTAAATTAATTAGAATATAAAAAAGTGTAGTAAGTGAACTCATAAGTCTTAAACTCATCTTATCTGATTTCTTTCATACATTCTATTACTATTCTTTTAATTTATTATTAAAATTAAGCTCTATTTTTTTATCCGTTACAATCTCGTTACGTTTAAACAATTAAATTAAGTTATTATTAGTACTTGAAAATAATCTTTGTAGAACAATAACTTGAGAATTCTTAATTTAAAAACCCTTTATTACTTTTTGATAAGTACACTTGTCTACGAACAATCATCAGAGTGCCTTTGCATTGTAGGTACTCGCCTCCCATGTCATAGTAGAAAAAAATCTAAAATATTTTACAAAGACATCACATCAGAGAACAAGAAGATATACTATGAAAGACAAGTGTGTCCATAACTGAAATAGTATACAATAAATTAACAAGATAAAAAGTAGTTTCCATAAAATTTACTCATACCAACACACACGCACACATATAATTGACTTCACCATTGATTCATTTCCTAAATCGTCATTCCTCCTTTGTTCTCAAATTATATCACATGAATCTTAATAGAAACGGTTTTCTATAAAGATAATGAAAATATTTGAAGATTAGTTCATTTTTTTTAACATCGTCTTCTACTCTATTTACGCCTAACAATCGGCTGTAGTTTAATAGACAAAAAATTGAGTTTTATGTAAGTAAAATATAGTTTCCATCGATTATATTATATGAAGAACTTTATTTTTATATATTTTTTTAAATCACATATAGTCTCTAGAGTATTCAACACAACTATATCTAAGACTCGATTCAAGTAAAAAAATAAAATTGAAATAACCTGATAATTTATGTATTTGATGGTACATGAACAATTTTATTATGATTATTCTTTGTAATTATTTTTGAATAATTATAAATAGAAATTTTTTCTTGAAGAAAAAAGTTATATTATATAAAAAATATAAAATATAATAAATGTTTATTTATTTTTACATAAAAAAATTTCAACCGATAATCATTTAAAATCAATTATAGATATTAAATCCTGTTGACAAAACTGTGATACCAATTCAACCATAAAAGCTTCTTGGAAAAAATGTTCATCGTAAGACCTTTTCTTTTTGTCTGAAAATATCATAAGATCTTAAGTGCATCCTGGGCAGCCCAAATTCCAATTTTTAGTTGCACGTGTTCCTTGCCCAAACTCCAAAGTACTATTGTTTTTGGACTTTGGCCCTACTTTTTCATCCCGAAATTAAAGTAAATAAAAGAGTTGAAATAATAAAAAAAAAGATTTAAAGAATGTTTTGAGCATAACTACATCAAAATATGTCGATCCAATCATCCAAAGCGCATTGAAAAAAAGTTTAAAGTTTGAATTATTTTGATAATGAATACATTAAAATTGTTGACTGAATAAATAATTAAATGGTTAAATGAAGAAATAATTTCCACTACAATAAGTTTAGGTTGAGTAGTTTTAAAGTTTGAGTAATTTTAATGATGAATACATTACGATTATTTCCATACCACTTTTAATGGTAGATAATTAAAAATGATAAACGAATAAATAATTTCAAAAGTACAATCATTTTTAATTCCTGTTTTGCAGCAATTTTCCCTTATATAGGATTTTAAAAAAAGGATAACAATCGTAGCCACTATGGATAATTGATAAAAATAGGTATAACAATCTCATGTACAGTTTATATATGTACCTAGTCTTGGGGAAGAAAATAAAAGCAAAGGAAACATGACCGAATCACCAGTTTCACTCACCCTCGATATTCTAGAAAGATTAGTAAAACCCACTCAAAGGAAAACAAATACTTTCTTATTTATATTTACATAAATATAAAAATTAAATATATTTTGAAAATATATTTTCACTTTTATAAAATACTCTACACATACCATACTCAGGGAAGTTCCCGTGCCCTACTCCTTAGGTAACCCACTACCTATTTCCTTTTGAAATTGTTTTCATTAACAGTTTTTACAACGTTTAGTTTCTATCTCTCTGTTAATCATCTTATTTCACAAACACTCTTCTCTTTCCATTTTTTTTCTGTTATACAACTTTTTGTATAATGTTTTTTGTACCACTACAATTTCTCGTTCCGTTTTATCACTTTCAGAACTGTTTATATCCATGGATGTAGCTGCAAGTAATCTGGGTGATCCTCCAGAATACAAATCGGTTCAATGTATCCAACTTAACTGTACCACACTCTTGCTGGAGCCTAGTTAGCTCATATCTCTTTTGCGCTGCCGCCACATGTATGATGAAATGCTCAGCCATCTTGCTAGGCGGTATGTACAATGCTTCACATCCTATACAGAAGGTTTTATCTTATTGAGTATAATCTTATAATCTGGCTACGACAAGTTGATAAAATGACGGGTCGTATTGTATTCGTGTTGACTCGTAAAAGCTCCGTCCAGATTTCCTTAGAAATGCTCCTTGTGAAACTCAAATTTTGTTTGGCCTTTTTCGTTGAACTCGAAGCATAGCTTGCTTAGTTCTTTTGCCAAAACTGGCGCGCCACAATAGAATACCCCTGTTACGAATTTAAGGATGTCAGTACAAGATGAGAACGAACTCTACAAACGCATGCTTGATGGAGAATGACTGACCTATCCGTCCATTGCAGTGCTTAGAACATATTTTAGAGAAAACCTTCTTCCACTTAGGCCTGGCAAAATGAGTTCTCACCTGATATTTAATTCAAAGAAGTAAATCAAAGTTTAAAATCTATTTTAAGACTGAAAAACAAACTCTGGAAGACTTACATTTTCCAAACTAAAACGCATAAAGGGTAAGGTACGTAAAGGGCAAAAATCTAAGGCTTACCCTAGTCCCAGAGACAATATCAACTCCATTCTTTGCATGGTTGAGGGCTTGCACCATTGCGATGAGAGCAGATCTGGCATCACCTTCCTCATATACGCTAGTCAAGTAGTTGTGCATCTCAATGACACCCTGAAGTCCATAATTAGACCTTGAACATTAGCTGATGCAAATATGACTTATTCATCTAGCAGCAGAGGAAAGGAATACTAAAATTCTTCCAGAGGAAGTCTTGTCAAGATAAGATATTCTGTAGTAGTTAATAATACCCTTTGATCAAGTTCAGCAACTTCATTCATGACCCCTTTAAACCAATCGAAAGAAACTTGTTCTCTTGTTACCCAGTAGAAATAAGCGTTGGTAGTCTTTAGTGTTTTCTTCCGTTTAGGAGAAATCTTATTAAGAGATGATGGAGAATCTGCACTCCCAGCGCTAAGGTCTGAACCTCTACTTGAATCAGAGACTGAATCCTGGATAGACAGCAGCATTGATTGTTACGTTCCATCGTAAACTTCTAAAATAATGGTCTGCCTGACAAGGCTCATACGAAACACCATTTTTTTCCACATTTTTATATGAAAAAGTAGCTATAAATATTTTGTCACGTGTTGCGCCAAAACTCACCGCCAGCTCCTCCATTTTGATAATATTGTTGAGAAGATCTTTTAGAATGCTGATGAAAGGTGTTGCTCCTATTCCCAGACCGACAAGTAACAGGACGTCATATTTTCTATAGTCTTGGGCTGGAGCACCGTAAGGTCCATCTATCCTTAGCTTGGGTAAACTGTATCAATTATTGATACCAAGAAGATGACAGGAATCTGAGCATAAATTATTTGTCCTGAGGACAAAGTTATAAGGGAAACAAATATGACAGGGCCATCACGTACCATTTTTTGGTGGTTTCATCAGCCCGGAGGAGCCCACTCTTCCCAGCTACCGGGGGCTCACAGGCCGCAGAGAATACCCTTTTGAGCTCCTGTGTCCAATCTCCTAGTTGTCGTATGTGAACACTTAGGTAGTCATCGTCAGGGGCTGAGGTAATAGAAAACGGATGCCTGACACACGTTACCAACAGTATTAGCTAACTGTAAAACGTATATCATTTCAATTCCTTTCTTTTTCGATATTTTTGAGGGGTTAAACCATTAAGGTACCATATTCGCTTTCTCTATTTTGTGGTTAGATTTACATGAAACTACAGAAATTCACCATAGCCACTGCAAAAGTAACCTGGAAAAACAAAAATTGCAACCTACCACTCAAAAGGAGAAAGTGAAGGACATTGAACAAACATGTATTGTCCGCTCTTGTAACGAAATTGGGGCGGCTTCGACATTTGCAATGTTAGAACATTTCCAGGATAAATGGCAACCTACATGTTTTTCACAATACGAATAAAAGAAAAGATCCGTAAGTTCGAGTTGCATAGTTTAGCTTATTGGAAGCAGTGACAAGTAAAATGCCAAATTTATGATAAATTTTCTTTTCTTTTCTGCTCACCTTTATAAGACGGACAGTATAGAAACTAGAACGGAAGAATCTTAGGGTTCTTTCTCCCGCATAAAGTAAAATTGGAGCTGCAAGATACATCCATGTCTGAAAACAGAGATCAATGCGTCAAGTAACCAATTACCGACAAGGGACAAAACATTTGATAATGTTCCTAAATAATGCTAATCTGATTCTACAAATTACATACCGTTTGATGCTGCCATTTGCGCTCGAGGTAAAGATTTACACCGTGAATGATGAGTAGGACATAGACAATTACAAATAGATGGTGTGAATACCAGAACGCATTGAAACCTGTGAGTCTATTAAATGGTTTAGGAAGCTTAATGAGATTTCTTCTGAACCATTTTGTTGCAAGAGTAAATGCTATTGCCATGAAAATCACCATCATAATTCCAGTCACACCCTCGACCCCTTTAACAAGGTCTCCATAACTGGGTCTACGATCACCAAACACGCCATTCAAATACTTCTTATAAATATCTTCAGACGAATTTACAAGTCTTGGAAAATCGCAAGCAAGGTGATTCCCGGCGTGAAGTACAACACCAACCACTACTGCCGCAGCAATTGTCTGCATCCATAACTAAAATTATACACCTCCCTAGGGAACTCATAAATTTACTGTTTATTTTCCCAGGTGGCTTGCAACGAAAGAATATTCAATAATATATATATATATATATATAATATACACATATATACAAAGAAAAGATAACTAAATTATGTTAATTAAAAAAAATATTTTATCTCATTTAACGCTTTTAATTTATAAAAAAATAAATATCTTTTCTTATGTGTCTTTCAAAAACATTTAAGAGTAATTTAATATTTTATCAATATTAAATATCATTAATTGATAATTTAAGTGCTAAAGTTAAAATTTAAAAATTGAATATTTAACACTTTAATAGAAGAGAATAAATTTTAGTAACTAATTAGTAACTAATTTTAAAGAAATTACCCTTTTTATTTCAAAATTTGTATAAAATTATTAACTTATATAAAAAAATCCGAGAACATACTGACAGATATCTGAATATACATCAATCATGTGATTGCTTTAACAAACTATTTTAACTGTCAATAAGATTCTGAACGACGTACCTTTTCGTTTATAGGATTTGATTTCAATTATAAACTTGATTAGCATTTCTATCGAAATATATCTATTGATACATAATGTTTTGAAGATTGGTTGGGTAACAATTATTTGATTGGTTAAACCAACTAATTATGTGATGGCACATGAAAATTGATAATGTAAAAGAACTGAGAGTCTATTAAAATTAAAATATTTTTTTATAGAAAAAATACAAGAATTGAGATTAAGTATATAAAATAATAAAATTTAATAAAAAAATTATTTCAATTTTTAACTTTAATACAGTATTTTTTTATAAAAAATTATTTTTGAATGTTTATACCTAAGAAAATTGATGTAAGCAAAACTTTTTTTCAATATTATAGTTTGCATTTTAAACTTAATCAATTGGAAGCTAAACATAGATCGGAAAATACAGTACATTAAATTTTTAATTGAACTTTATGTGTTGATCATTTTCTAAAGCTTATTGACAACTTGAAAATGAATTAAAAAATTATTTTTAAAATGGTAAAAATAGTTTATCGATGCAAAATAACGAGTATAAGACAATGATAAATCAATTGTTATAGTTAACACAAACAAGTCTGAAGTTAAAATGATAAAAATTTATCTATACATAATAGTAAATCACAAGTAGTAAGATGATTTTTCAAGCAAGTACAGTAAAATAATAAATTTATATATATATATATATATATATATCAAACGGAGGAGCAAACATCACGAATGATTGTTATTGACGGCGCCCACTATCTTACTTTTAAATCAGCATTCAACATGTTTTCTGGCGGTGTTGTGTGGTGCGTACCTTATGAAAGTTGATGTTATCATCAAAAGGCATAATGTAAGCTAATTTGGTGGACCTGAGCCAAGTTATGGTATTTCTGCAGACGGGCAAGAGTACAAGTGCCATGTTGAACTTCAGAGTCTCGGCAGCACCTTTTGCCGTGAGTAAACAGTAACCCATGATATGAAAAGCATCTTTTTGCTTATACTCGATGAACTTCCAGATAAACAGTCCAATCATAATAGAAAACCACACTGTTAAAACCCAAAGTCTCCTCCAATTTTCTTGCAAATAGTAGAGCAATCGGCGACTCATTCTACGTATCGGACTTCTCGCTCTTAGTCCTTGTAGGTTCTGGCTCAAACCTTGACTAGTGTAGCTTAGTGCTTGGCTGTAGCTGAGGTACGTGTCCTTCTGTAACAGAAGTGTCTCCAATTGCCATAGCTGCGTAACACAATGACCGTTAAAATGGCGCAAGACTATGAGAGGTGCAATCGTATATGTAGAAGATATTTCAACATGTCAACTATTTCATCATTAACGATTTCATTATTTCGTAGATAGAGCAATAGTCGCGCGCTTACGTGTTGAAAAAGTATATGTTTAACTGAGGAAGAAGAGAGACGGTCATGGGAACTCGGGCATGATTTAAAATGGACCTTAGAAACATGGTTTCACAGGAATGAATTCACATGATCAAATATTTAATAATGCATCTTTCTGGAACAAAAATGTTTTTTAATAATTTCGGGAAACGATTTTTAATTTTTAATATATTTTTATGTATACAATGTTAATTTCCAGTTATTAAAACATGTCATTCCTTTCTTTTACCCATTCACTTTAGGCATAAATTATTTTTTCTTTTTATATTATATTACAGTTCATTTTATTAGAAATGTTTAAATCTTATATTTTATTGTCCCTCAAACAATACTACATCATTACTCAAATGTATTACGCAATTAAAATATATGCATGTATAGTTGAAATAATAATAATAATAATAATATGCGCGCCCAGACATATCATTAATTAATTCCAATATATTATTCTATGCAGAGAATTCCCACCTCAATGTAGCCAAGTCTTTCAGGGTCCAACTCTTCCATGATCAGAGCTGCGTATTCTTCGGCCTGCTCTTTCAATCTGGATAACCTATTTGCTGAAGCGCTTAGATTGATGATCTGAAAATCAATTGAGATATAACAATTGTTTAATACAAGTTTTGTAACTTATTTAAAACTTTGTAATTTATTAACTTCGCCAATAAATTAGTAGAATTAAACACACATACACACACACACACACACACATATATATATATATATATATATATATATATATATTTATACTCACACTATTAATTTTTTTAAAATTTTTAACTAATTTTATAAAAAAATAAAACTAAGTCTTAAGATAAAAATTTTACAAATTTATAATTTTTTATTTTTATATAATTTCATATAAATAATTATGACTAAAATTTTTTAATGATCATAAATTATTTTAAAATACAATATTTAAATTTTAATTATTCATAATTAAATATAATACTTAAATTATATTTCTTTTATTTGTAATTTTAAAACTTTATGTGCTGGAGTCCATAAACAGGTGATCAAACAAATTCAAGTAAATCCGTGTAATTTACAAAACAAACACGGAACTGTTGGGACGAAACAATTATTTGAAAGCTTGACTGATGCCATCTCTATTATATCTGCACATCTGGACCCAAAATAAATGTTTAGCGTAAATGACGACTCTGCCCCCACCAACCCCACTGAAAACGCGACTTCATAAATTACAATAATTTGGTTTAATCTTCTTCTTTTTTCGGTCAACCAATAATATGGTTTAATCAGAAAAATGAAATTGCCATGTGTGACGAAAGCCGGAAAAGTGAGTCCTAGTTCATTGAAACAATAAAAGCAATTAATAATATGCTATAGAATACGGGAAACGTCCTGAGTGGGAGCACTGAAAAATAATAATAATAACTACATGTTTCAAATTTTGTTATTTTACCATATTTGTATAAACAGGTTTACCTAATGCCGCCTATTGTTACCGTCGATTATTAAAACTCATTGACACCTTACGCCTGGGCTATACAACAGGCATAGCACCAGTGCGTCCTTTAAACCAGATTAGCACAAATGTAATCAGCCAATCACAAAATACAGAAATAAATAAATAAATATTTTTTATTATTTTAGTAAAGTAGAAATAGCACCTTTTTTTTTTCGAGAAGTCATCAACGAGAGAAAGAAGAACACGACAGATAATATTTAAAATTTAAAAATAAAAAATAAATCAGTCATGTAAGAATATTTAGATATAAAGAAATGTGCAATGAATTAATTAAAGATGATAACTTAGTATAAGGAAGAGTGAATTCACTGTCTTCTAACTTAATAAAGACACATAAATTTTCTTATTTTAATAAAATTAGAAACAATATTTTTTTTTTGAGGAAATCAACGAGAGAGAGAAGAAAAAGACAGATAATATTTAAAATAAAATAAAAAATTGCAAGACATGTAAGAATATATAGACATAAAGAAATGTGAGAGAAATTAATGAAAGATGCAGATTTGGTATAAGGAAGAGATGAATTAAATGTCTATAACTTAATAAAGACACATATTGTTAATATTTAATTTTATTGATTTTAATTTGAAATTTCGCTAATTTTATTTATTAAAGGTCAATAAATAATTTATAAAATTATCTTATAATAAAGATCACTGAAATATTTTAGAAAGTGTTTGTGAAAATTATACCTCCTTCACTTCTTCTTCGGTGATTCTACCATCTTCGTTCTTGTCCACCCTGTGAAGAAGATAAAGATTTAAATTAAACACAGAAAAATTAAGGCAAGTGAGGATCACGATCAAATTACATGCAAAGAAAACACGAAAGCTTCGAGGCTATATAATTATTGGAGATGAACACTCTCAAATAAGAAAGAGTATGATATAAGAAATTAAGAATATATTTAATATTATTCGAATTAATATTTTTATAAATTTATTTTATTTTAAATCTAGATAGATACTGTGTAATGTTCTCATTTTATTAGTTTTCTCTTAATACTAGGAACTCCTTAATTACTAAAGCAAATTACAGAAATATTTAAGAGCCTTCGAAGTACAAGTTTTCTTTCTTAAAGATAATAAAGTAAAATGAGGATTATTTTTAACTAATTGGATTATATTTTAAAATAATACTTAATCAACCAGTGATTACATGTCGAAGAAGATTTGGAGCCGCGAATCAAAGCTTTGATCTGTAATTTGCGACCAGAATTCAAAAAGCTCATCTCTGCTGATCTTTTCAACCTTCAGTCTTCGTCTACGACTCAGAGCATCGAATAGTTCCAGAGCGAACTCCTTAGAATCTTTCATCCCTTCATAAAAAAGAAACATAAAATCTGAACGATTGATAAATGTAGACGCGCAACGCGAAAATCTGAATTGAAATCTGAAAAGGAATTGGACCTATGCATTGCGCAAAATCGGTGCGATAGAGAAAACCGTCTTTGGCAAGACTATTGAAATTGCTCTGCACTTCGTTCCAGGCATCAACGCCATTGGACTTACTACTAATAAATTTCAGTCCACGGAGCGCTTTCTGTGTTCCTGACCGGTTGCGTTCAAGCTGAGCGCGTTGCTTCCTAAGATCTCGAGCCGCCAACGCCGTTTCAGATCCGCCGTGGCCCCACGGGAACCGCCGCAGCTCCGCCTTGAGCTCCTGCGAAAACTGCCTCGCCTTGGCAACCGCCTCGGCCTTCAGTTCCTGCGAGAACTGCCGCCACCTGCTGGAAGAGCTCCTCCTGATCGACGGCGACAGCGTAGAGGATGCCGGAGTTTCGTTTCCGCTTGGTGCGACGCCATCGTCGACGTTAATGACAGTCACCGGCTCGACGCCTCGGAGAACGATGGTGTGATCGTCTTGAAGATCGAGAGTGACCTCAACATACTCGTCGGCGAAGGAATAGTACTCCGTTCCCGGCGAAGTCCCGGTACTTACGGTTGCGTTCTCCGGCACAGTGTCGGACGCCCATCGGCGTTCGTGCTTCGGAGCACCATTCATTGATTAAGCAAAACAGGAGAATGTATAGGTTTTTTAATTTTATATATACAGATATTTTAATCTTTAGGGAAAAAAAAAAGGAAGTGATATGAGTTTGTTATATAATGCAATTCGGCACGCGTTGCTAACGTGCGCGGGAAGTTATTCGGACGAGTTGGAGAGAGAGAGAGAGGAGAGTTTAGGCCCCGGGTGATTAATGTAAAGGTGAGGTAGAATAGAGGTGGAACGCGCAGAATCTGAATGAATAAGAAAAAGACAAGAACGTGTACAGAGCTCACAAGAGAAAGGCAACTAAAATTTGACCAAAGAAAAGGAAGAAAAGGACAATGGCTTTGCTCTTGCAGCAGAAATTAAAAGAAGCTAGCGCTCTTGTTACATGTACAAGTTAGGAGTTAGGACTTCATAATGGGACATGGGGAATAACAAAGATTCGTGGAATAGTCCATTATTGTATCATTAAATGGGTGTTGGGATTTTTTTACATAATATAAGTAGTGTAAGTGTGAATGGAAAACGGAAAAGGGTGATTAGAAGAAAAGAAAGAAGGTTGAGTGCCAAAAGATGATGGTGTCTCGTTCATGTTTATATTGCATACAGATAACTACTGTGGACTGGCGTATTGGGGGAAGTGGCAGAGACGGAGGGAGAGAGAGTGTGTGGCGGAGTGGCGGGGTCGGAAAAGGAAAGCAAGTTCAATATATTTAATGCCAGTGGGCCCGTGGATTCCAGAGTCTCCGAAGTCGACGGTAGGGATCGCCGAGTAAACTCCACTCAACCTTGTCGCGATCAATCGTTTTTAATTTTTCGTTTTCTTTTCAAGAAATTAGTTATTTCAATTTTAGTTTTTACAAAATGATTAGAGCAACACGTGACACGTGACACTGAAAAGACTATATTTATAATTTTAGGATTCAGCAGACATAACATATTTCGTTCAACCTTTTATAAATAAATGCAATATGAATTAAAACATAACCCAACTAGTTTAATATTTTTTTCAACCCAGGTGTGGATTGTGCTTTAAATTCTTGCTTTATTTAAATTCATGTGTTATGCCATGATGTTTTAAAATTTAGTTATTTCCTTGAAATTTTTTTTTTGGCACAATGGATAAGAAGAAGAAAGGAGTTCAATTAAGTCGCATTAGGGAATCTTTAATTCCCTCGTGTTTAAAAATCATTGATATAATAATTTTTTATTTAATATATATTTTTCTTTAATGTGATATAGTTTCATGAATTTTCTTTAAATAAAAAAAGTCTCTTCATTTTAAAGTTAATAAATTTAGTCCCCTTGCCAAGTTAAAATTTTAAAAGTCTTATTATTTTTACTCAAATCATTAGAGACTTATAATGAATTTTGGATATTAAAAATTTAAAATTTGAAATTCAATAAAATTTTGATCAGCTTTAGTAGATTTAATAGGATGTAAAATTAATATTTGAAAATTATATTTTGAATAAAATTAAATATTTTGACTAATAAATTTTGAGGAAAAGAAAATTAAAAATAAGTTAATTTATAAAAAAGTTAAATAAAAATAAGAACTTAAAATTTTAAAATAAGAAAGAAAGTAATCAGATGAACTTAATTGTAATAACCTAAAAACTATAAGAATTGAATTCACCAAAAAATTATTAAAAGACCTTTTCATACATTATGGTGATTTATATTCACAGCTAAAGCAATTCTAAGCTTCATCTTACTTTCCTAACTTTTCTCTACCCGATAAGATTTATTTCTTTTTTGTTAACTATACTTTCAAACTTGTAGCAGTTGTTTACGTGAATAGGTGAGTTATTTTGTACCACTTTATCCAAAAATTCTTTCTATAGCATTGACTTTTTTCTCTTCTCCTAAGTAGACCCTGTAACCGCCAATTAAGTTTAACATGATAAATTAATAAATATAATTTCATAGAAGAACCAAGTTTTTGATAAATTTTCATTGGATTATGATAATTTCCCTCACACATAATTTAATTACGCAATGTATGTATATTATATGGATTACGAAAGTTATTATTTAAAATGTCTAAATTGCAAGAAGTTGTACCATGAGGTATAAAAAAATGTACCTCAAATAATGATGATGGGAAATGTTAAGCAAATAAAGTTAATTTTTAAAGATAATTCATAATAACTCATTTTCTAGCTTGATTTCAACAATAGCATCGTATACCTTGATGAGTCACAGTTCTTTGATATAATTAAGGATGTTTTACTATATGTTAGAAGTACATTGATAAATTTATAATGGGAAGGAAAACTACAAGGCTACAATTAACAACTTTAAATAAACGCAGATCTATACCCATTCAAAAGTGAATCCAAATAGACATGATTAAGGCACTTGAGCACTAACAATTTTAAGAAAAGCTTCATGTATGGATCCTAGCAAAAAGGCAATAATTAAGGCTTGCATCATCTAGACATGAAAGTTGGATCTGCTGCAGTAGTCCATGTTATCCCTTGGTTGACACCATCACATTTTGATTTGTCTCCACGACACACTACAAATTGCATTCAAATTACATTGTCTATTCAACAATTAAACCATCTGAATGATTGTTCTTGATGAATTATAGGACTATTTTTTTGGCAATTAGGAGGACAAAATCCCAAAAGCTAAAAAAACACTAGTTACAAAAATATGTCCTAGCCACATCAGCTAAAGTAGCAACGGAGGTTGCACGAGGAGCATAAGGAAAAATGTGAACACCTTAAGCAAGCTAATAACCAACTCCAGTCGTGCTATAAGCAAGGGAATTTGCCTCTCTAATCGTGTCTCTATTGAATTCAAACTTCCCATTCTTGTTGTATCGTCTGGGGTATTTGTGTAACCAGAGGGAAAACTGAGTGAATCTTTAGGTAACCAACATCCACGAATTATATTACATACCTCAGTCACTCCATAACTTAACATGAGTAATTGAACAAGTTCCTACATTGGCAACAAAGGAGAGCATGATCATCTATTTCGATCTCTAAACAAAAATGGATGAATAAAAGACCCATCTATATATCGATTTTAACCCATAATTTTGGACGTGGCTTCCAAGTGAACCATCTTGTTCTTTCATGAGGAAAATAGTTTGATGTGAAAATAGTTATAGCAAGCGAAAGAGAGTTCCTAACTTCGTTAAATCCATGTCACATGCAACAATTAAGATGCTGCTCATTTTCCTTTTTGATCAAGAAAATGAAGATATTTCTTCTCTACCACAGAAGGTGAATGGTGATATATCCAAAATAAGACTTCAGTCACCATTACTAAATCCTCCTAACGCTACAGAGAAATTAAATTCTAGCCAAGAATGTAAATTCTTTGTAAAGATAGCTTGTTAGTGGTCAGAGTTAATTAAACTTCTTATATTAGTTGCAAAAAGACAGTCCTTAAGCATATGCAGAGTAGATTCTACATGGATATGCCATAGATGGGGCATCTCTTATACCCCAATTTGTAAGAAGAATCACCTTTGCTACCTTTCGATCGAATGAACTTGAGTCCTTTGAGGCCCATTCTATGATCAACATGCTTCGTATTGTAATTTTTGTCAATTAATTGTTAACATATAATATATTTCTTTATCATTACATCATTAAAATAATTTAATTATGATAATTGCCATTAATTTTTTTAATAATATATCAATATATACTAAGAAAACTATGTAAGAGATTAGATGAGGCATGTCCCAGAAATAATAAATAGCTGTCTACTTTTTAAAAATTTTACTCATTTGTATTTTGATCTTAAATAGTATACTTTTCTTTCGATTTTTTTTATTAGATTCTTTCAATTAAATTATATAGATTAAAAAATTATTAAAAGTAGTTAATAGATTAATTTTTGAAAAATTAATTACAATTTTTTAAATTTATCTCTACTTAAAATCAAATTTTATTATTATATTAATTGTTAAGAAGTTAAAAAAAAGTTAAATATTAAATATTATATATAAAAAATAATATATAATTAAAAATTTATAAACAAACTTATATTAAAATTAACAAAAAAATTATTTAAAAAATATAAATAAATTAAAAAATATTATTATAAAATATTTACTACAGTATTCCTAAACTTAAAAAATATTAAATATTTTTATATTATATTAAGATATTAAAAAATATTTACATCTTTTTTAAAATAAATCATTAACTTTACCGTTAAAATCATGGATCATAATTATACTACGTATAAAAAGTATAAAATACCCCTTGTTTCTCATATTTTTAATCCGAATCTCACGATATCTTAATGTTAGAATGTCGGTCATTACTATGTTTGGTTGTAACATCGTCAAATTTCTTCATACATATGTGGCTGATAATTGCTTTGGTGGATGCTTACATGGCCAACTTGGCCATTCAAGTTTTGTGTGACTTCTTAGCTGTCAAGACCATGTTCTTTCTGATCGAACACCTTGTCATTTTCCCTCACCCTTTCTTGACTTTTCAATGCAGTGAAATAGTTCAATATCCTTTTAAAATGTATCTGTTTTTTTTCAAATACACCACCTATCTTCATTTCTCTTCACTTTCTCTGCGCAAACTATTGCTTCGTTTTCCTAGCCGTGGCCATGAAATGAAATCTTCGATTTCCAACCTCATTTCTACGAAAGCGTTCAAACCGTAGCCCCACAAAGTGGATTTGTATAGTGGTGTCGTGATCTAAATTTTGCTAGGCGTTGTGTACTGTCACAGCCCACCAGTGTTCTGTCGGTTTGAATGAGTTATTATTACATAATAATTAAATAAATTACATTCATAACTTAACAAAGATTTATTTACTATTTTTTTTTATCATACTTCTTATTTAATTTAAATTAACGTAAAAAAATATCAAGTAAAATTCATTTAAATCGGAAGATATATAAATGTAATTTATCTTAATCTTAACAATTAGTATAGTGAAATTTTATCATGACAACAAAAGTAAAAATATCAAGTTCATTAAATGATTTTGTAATATATTATTAAATAAATATAACTTTTAAAATATCAATTATATTTTTTCTTTAGAAAACTGCTCATAAAAAATTATTAACTAATAAAAAAATATTCAAAAGAAAAATGTCAAACTCTCTTTTATGTAGTAGGTGTGGAGTTAATTAGGAATCTATAATTCATATTTTAAATGATTATTTTTATGCTAGAGATGTGTGGAGTCATTTTATTTTCATTGAGCATTGGATAAATTTTTTTAGTTATGGACTATTTAGTTGGTTAGTAAATAACCTCTCTTCTTCTAATCATAATAGATTTCAAAATTGGAAGACTATTTTTTGGTATTGTGATTTGGTATTTATGGAAGAATAGAAATAATTTAATTTTTAATAAAGTTTGTCAAACCTAATAAGGTTCCTGTAAAAGCCGTGTTTGATGTAGATTATTATGCCTTGTGTTATAGGAAAAAGTATTC